ATAATGAATTCAGAATTTCTAGGAAGAAAGCTTTCAAACATCCTGGAATTCCTTTCCAATGCATGATGGATTCAGAATTCCTAGGACTCAGGTGATTGTTTATTTTCCTGGTCTTCCTCTTTGGGTTTGGTGGTGGAACCTTTTCAGAATGTATGTCTGTGACAGTGCTTTCCTAGAAAAGAGTTCACAGAAAATTCTGACTGGTCATCCTTTTGAAAAGAAAGCCAAGACTTTGTTGATTAATGTCTTCAGAAAGCTTTTTCAGCTTGAAAGAAATAGAAGAACTTTAAAGGGTAGAAATGTTCTTTTCAGATTTGGAGAGGGGGTTTCTTTTGTTGTGTCTGCCTGGTGTCTGATTTCTTAAGATCTTTGTAATTTCCAGTTAAGGGTAAAGTAAATTGGGGAGTTTATTTTGTGAGCTATTTTGGGCCTTTGGGAGATTTCTTATCTTCCTATTCCTTTGTTCCTCTTTAGAAAAATTCTACATACAACCCCATGCTCCCAAATGTTGAGGATAGAAATATAAAATGTGGATGTCAATAGATGATTCTGACCATTGATTAAAGAAAAGCTTAGTTTCATTGTTATATTTATATCTATTGCCTGTGAATGTTCACTTGAACCTATGAGCCAAGTGTTCGAGCCTCTAACTCCACATTTATAATGCTATATTCTTATTGAACTCCTGTAATTTGAACCTATGAGTCAAGTGTTCGAGTCTCTAACTCCACGTTTGTAATGCTATATTCTTATTGAACTCTTGTACGTTTTAAATTACAGATCTCACAGGTATTGTATGCTTGTATTTTCGACAGGTTGCAATATTCCCCTTGCGAGATAGATGGTAAACGGGTTTGGAAAGTAGAACGTTTGGCTCCCTGATTGGCTCTCTCTCCATGATCTTGGATGTGGAATTTCATCATTCATGTACCTTTTTAACATATCGTGCTTCCTTTTTTTCCCTTTCGTGTTAGCGTCGAGGTTGCTGTCTAATATTCAACTGTTGCGTGATTTACTGAATAAGTGCAATATTTACAGCTGCCGTTATACTATATGCTCATGGAATTTCTTTACTGCTATAGTATTTCAGGAAGCACAATTTTAAATGATATAAACACTAACCTTTACAATCTAAATGCATATGGACAGGGAAGAGGGAATATAACATCGACCTATGGCAACCTTTTTTCTCTTCCTTTGGTTGGGGAACCAGCGTATTAGTGATCCATCCTGGTCTAGTATAGAATGAACTTATAATCATAGAATCAACTTGAATCAAATTTTATAAATTATAGATTCATAATTCTAGTCCATTTCTATTTTGGGTGTAATAGATCTATTAATTCTTCGATTCTTCTTATTAAGAGGGATCTTAAACTAACAAATAGATTCCAGCTGCTAAACTTAAAGGAGGGAGCTGTATTTGTGGTTCACTTCCTTGCATTATGTTCATGGTCCACCTTATTAAATTTTGAGAAGTTTTGCCCAATTCAAGGTCAGCCTCGAGAGACCAAAGTTGAACCCAATACTCTAAAGGGTTGGGGAGAACGGTGTATAACCTCGAACTTTGGTATCATTATTCTCATTTCATCCAACACCATTTCTTAGGGAGTGAGCACTTTTTTTTCCCAAAAAATTTTATATCAGTACTTTTCCAGGAGGGATCAATGGAGTGCAAATAAAGGTTGAATGTGGAACACATTTGTTTATGCAGATAATGGCATTGACGATGAATCTCCATTAAATGAAAAAAGAAATGGTCTTAGCTCATTGATCTGATTTCATTGAATTGGAGAATGGGTTTCATGTCGTTGTCTCTATTGTAATGCCAAATATTTTCTGGCTTGCTTCAAGTTCAGCCTGCTGCTGCTGCCGTGGCTTCTAGAAAAGGGTCCAATCCAATGCACTGCTTCTGAATTGATTGCCTCTCGGAACTTGATTAATTTTTTACCATCCCAACCCATTTTGTGTTTAATAAGTCTGTGAACTTGATGCTTTAAGAGGATTTTTAATCTTTATCAGGTATTTGAACTTTCTATTTTGTGTTTAAGAGGTATTGTTGAATAGGTTAGGGATCTGTTAAAGTTTAGGGATCTATTAACCTCTTAAAATTAAAGGACATAATAGGCACAATTGAAAGTTGAAGGACATTTTCGGCACTTTCTAAAGTTTCACGATCTATTAAACATAGTATTGAAGGTTCAATAATTAAACTTGTAATCTTACTCAAACAAGTCATCTAATAAGTGCATAGTGAAAACGACTTGGGAAAGTGATATTTAGAATAAAAACATCCTCACTCAATGCTAGAAAGTCCTTTGACTTTATCGTGGTTGGTGTTCGACCTTTTATTGACCAACAAACCAACTATATAAATATATTTTTTTTTTATAAAAATGATTTTAGTTATTAATTTTTCTAATGATCTCACAAATTTAATATAAGCATTCTGTTGACTGTTTTTTAGTACATGTAGAGGTTAGAATTCGAATTCATGACTTTTGGTTGGATATAGTGTCTTAATCGGTTGAACATGAATGAGTGTTGAAGTCGTATTAATTATAGAAAAGTTTAACCCAAAAAAGAAAAAGGAAAAAAAAAAGAGTCTTTTTCTATAAAGTTAATGACAAATAGAATTATAGAATATTTGAGGATTCAAATAGAATATTTAAAAGATAAGGGATTTAAATGAAATGGGTATAAAATATTACTTAAAATAATATCCCAATTCTGACTCTGAGGTTTAATATTTCACCAGTGAGTGGTAAGGGTTTTCCATGCTGTGGAGTCCTCATTTTTCAAAAAAATCTTTGCCTTTTACATTGATACTGACGGGCACTGACCAAGATTTTTATTTTTCCGTTTTAAATTTAGTTGTTTAAAAATGTTTCTGAAATCTTTGTCAAATTTAATACACTAAAAAGAAGCTTTAAAAAAAAAATTTAGACAAAGTTTCAATAAATATTTATTTTGTTTTTGGTTGCGTTTTTCGAAGCTTTTTAGGTTCGATATTTATTTATGGTTTTTAGAGGGGKTTTTTTTTAACCCATTCTTCRTAAATAAGCTTAAATTTATCATTATCAAGTGATAAAAATTTCAATTTAAATATATGCATATTTGGATGAGTAATTAACTTTAAATATGTAGCATAATTCAAGAAATAATATTTAAGTGCTCAATATCTTTTTACTTACCACCATTAAAAAATTGGYATTTAGCTATTCAAATTTCTCTATATATTMATCTTTCTTCGTTACCAATATTTTTAATGATAGTAAGTACAAGATAGAGCACCACAATATTATTCTAACTCAAGAGTTAAAAGCCAACATGAGTCCAGTTCAATAATAATTAGCATCTATTTCCTCCTTTGAGGTCAGATATTCAAACCCTCATTCCCCTAATTTGTTGTACTAAAAAAACTCAAAAATTAAAACATTAATGACCTTCTAAAACTTAACTAGTCGAGACATAAGTACTTATCCGTCTTGTGTATATATAAAACTCTCAAAATATGTACCCTTTAAAAAAAAGCAAATTTGAGAAGAAGAAATTAGTTAGAGAGTAGGACTCCCTACCCTACAAAACAGTTGAAACATTTTAGCTGGCTAGGTACCTATCTCTCTCTGTCCTCTCATTTTCTCTCTCTACACYTCACTTCATATTCTTTGCATTATCACTGACCTCTCAGAAAATTGCCTTTCAAGCTTCTTTTGACCAACTTAAAAATTATAAAAAAAAAAAAAAAAAACTTTTTTCTTTTTGTTGTTTGTTTGAACTTTGAAATGTAAATTTGACTCCAACGTTGACTGAGCCACTTTATTTTCTTGCCCCTCTCCAAAATGGGCATTGGCTTTTCATTCATTATTACCCATGACTCACTCTCAGAAATTATGATGCAAAAAACTTGTGTATAAAAAATGGCCCTCAGGAATGGATTTTGGGCCAATCTTTATTTAATATTCCACAAGTGGGAGATGTGTTGGGTCAATCTCACCAAAGTGGTTGGAGCTTTTGGAACAGAGATTGATTTAATCCAATTATGTGTTGTTGAATCATTTCAACACCACTACCATACTCACTACTCACCCCTCCCTCAACCATCTCTTTCAACCATTCCTAACCAAACCATTAATGGAGCTTGACCCAACTTCTCTTTCTTTTCTTCCACTTCTCTAACAAGTTTTCATAAAGAAACTTTTTAATTATTTATAGATACTGTTGGTTGCTCGCTCTGAGGTCAAATGGAAAAGCTTTTATTTTAACTTTTGAGGTCTGTGATTAATCTTGAATGTGAGGTCTTCTATAAGTTTTTATGGTAAAACATACGGTTGTCTTGTCTGAAAGATTGGTTAAGGTGCGAGTTTCTTGAACACTGACCACTTTGTTTTAGGGCTTTCGTGAGATTCTGCCCTCTTTTTAGATAGAAAGTGTTTGAGGGGGTCGAGTTATGAGTTTTAAGCTATGTGGTCATTTAATACCAGGRTTATATTCTACGTGTTTTTTCTACTGTAGCATACATGATTGTCTCATAAGCAGATCAAGAAGTGAGTTTCTCGAACACACTAATTTTTCTATATAGTCTTTATGAGATTTGATTTTTTTAAGATAGAAATTAAAGGAAGTCGGGTCTTTTCATATCCAACCAAGAATGCTTTTTCTAACCCGAAAATAAAAAGTGAATTATTTAAAGGGTTTTTCTTAGACTTCTGTATTTTCTTTCTAGCCAAACAGGCATTGATGCTAGATCGATAAGATTCTAATTCACTTCATTTGAGTCCTCTTCTTTGATGTCAATGTCATGATCAACTTCTTTTTTTTTTTTTAATTTTTTAGGAGAAGGGAAAAAAAACAACAACAACAAAGAAACAAAGATATGGTGAAGTGATCTGACATGTTCAATTTTGCACTCTCCTATATTTAGTGTTAGATCTTAAAAGAAGTGGGAAAATTGCTTTTATTATAAGGCTTGAAAATAATCATAAAATTTTCAAAAGGATTTGAATTTTTGGACCATTATATTTGTCTGAGCTTTTAAGGAAGAGACTTCTTCCAATTTAATGCACAAAAATCACACACTCAAGAGTGGAATTTTATGTTTTCTTTACAAAAATCATGTTTCTTTTTTTCTAAGTAAACTGAAATTTTTTTCTTAGGACACCCACTCCACTAGCATTGATATGGCCTATAGGCCATGGGATTTATATAAAGGAATGGCATTGAAGCCTCCAGCCAGATTTTCCCTATTAAAACTTTCCCATCATGGCCCATAATTTGACCATTGAGGAGACTTTGATTTGGAATATCATGTGTTTTAAGAAGATTATTATTCTCTTAGATTACGAGATTGTCTAATCTTACTCACACGGTCTTCGTTAAATCATTTGAATTTTATAAAATTTAAATAAAAAAAATATCAAGGTGACTCCATCTATATCGCTTTAATTAAATGTGATATTTGACTTTGATTAAACAGTTTAATCAAGTTCATTGAATTGTGTTAATATCGACTGATTCTGTTTATATTACTTTATAATTGAGATAAGATGGATTTGGATCAAATTCTCTAACTCTGCACTTTGAAGTTACATTTGATTTTGACTAAATTTTGATCTGAAACTTTGCAAGAGTGAGATTAGTCAAATATTTGATCCAGAGAAAAAAAAATCATTAGAAAAAACTTGAAGAGGAATGTTAAATAAATTTAATTGAGAGTCAGTAATACTACATAAATTAATTACCATGAATTACAAATAGTTTAAATTTAGGTTAAATATATATAATTCCATCCATAATCTTGTAAAAATGTTAATTTCATCCTTATGGGTTTGAGTTATTTGGACCAAAATGTGATAGTATGATTAGTTAACAAGATAACGGCACATGTAAGTTGAAAATACACTATATTTTATAGTTTAATGTATCAATAAAGTAAAAAAACTCGTGATAACCCATCCAATAATTGTAGACATTTTCGAAATTTCCAAATCGCTTTTCTTTTGACATTTACCAACAAACAGGAGAAACGAAGGGTGAAAAAAAGGAAAAAACAAAAATGCCGTTGTTAATAAGGTCTTTTTAACCCTTTGATATATATATATATATATTTTGGATTTTTGAAAGGCTAGGTTCAAACTTGATCGGATGTAATTTTTTCATTTTTTCGGTTTTAATATTTTTTARTACAACATAAGTGAGATGGATATTTGAACCTTAAAGAAATTTGTCAAAATATAAGTTCGAACCAATGTAAAAATTACCAAACTACTCATATTTATATATTTTAAATAAATAAATAAAACTCTGAACCTTAAATCCTACACCTTAGACCTACTATACAAGTTTTCTTCTTTGATAAAAAAATAAAATCCTAAACCTTAGACCCGAGATAATTCCTCCTTTCTAATGAAGAAATAAAATGCGCCAACATGAGCTTAACTCGATCGTAATTGACATCAATCCTAAACGTTAGGGATCGTAATTGACATCAATTCTAAACGTTAGGGTTGATGTGAGTGCTTAGTTCAGCCATGAAATTTGTAAGTAGTTTGGGAAATTAGTAATTAGTAATATTTTATTTTCTATTTTGTAGTGGAAAACAGCTCACCACCCTTCTGCCCTCTGCCTTCTGCCTTCTGCCTTCTGCCTTCACTCACTTTTCCCTTCCACTACTTCCCACTTCTCTCATTTGCTTATTTCTCCTTTGTCTTTTACTATTTTTTTGTCTCTTTATCTCAGCAATTATTTCCCCTTTTTCATTTTTATTATATTCAGTATTAGTTTTTAAAAATATCAACATATTTGGGATTGATTAAGTTCCATGCAATTTTACTCGTTTTCTATTCTAATCCTTGAAATACTTTCTTAATACAACTGTGAAAGTACAACGGTGAAGATAAAAGATTGAACCTCCGAAATTTAAAAGTTTGAATCTATACTCTTATTAAGATATTCAAACAAATACTTTGTACAAATGTGACCTAAAAATGTCAAAAATCACATTCCCTTTCATTGCGTCTTACATATTCATCAACATACTACGATAATTTCAAAAAAAAGTAAAGTGAGGTCATTTGAAACTAGTTTTTTCAATATCCTCCTTAAAACATTTTCAGCAAATTTAAAATATGTACACTTATGCAAAAAGAAATTAAAAAAAGACCAAAAAAAAAAAAAACTTGAAAGATGCTTTAAAGGCACTTTACGAAGCATCCCATCAGAAATATTCTCACACTTGATGACTGTGGGAGGAGAAAATGGTCTGTTGAAGGAAGAAAGCAAATGGAAATCCAGCCAAAAAAAAAAACCTGAAGGCTGCAGCAGAGAGCATATCATTCATTCTTCTCTGTCAATATCATTTCTCCTCCAAACAAATACATTCAATGTATTTGGTTATGATGAGAATAGCATTTCTTTTTTACTACTCTTCCACATCCACTCTTTCTTATCCAAAACAGCCTTTCTTCCCCTGAAAAAATTCAATCAACTCCATTGGAACCCTCTCATGATTCTCTCTCTCTACCCATAGAGAGAGAGAGAGAGAGAGAGAGAGAGAGAGAGAGAGAGAGAGAGAGAAATGGTGGGAAGAAGAAAACAAAACATATGCTATTGCCAACTTGCCACTGCAACATAAGGTTTAGACAAGAAAGCAAAGCCTCTCTCCCCATACTTATTCAATAGCATAGTCATATCCCACTTAATAGATGATAACTTTGCTTTTACCTCCTGCCAAGAAGACTTCCCTCTCCTCATTATGAGAGAGAGAGGAGAGAGAAATATGAGCCCATCATCAATGGATGGCTGCTTTATAACGCAAACTCAGGGGGGGATGTGACAAGTCATCAAATAATTGATCCTACAGTGACTAATTTGAAAACGGCCAACAATACAATGTCTATTCAACGGACAAAACTAGCACACTTCAACACAACCTTTTCTTTTCACCTAATTTAGGCTGTTCAGATAGCTCTATATGGTAAATCCGAAGTCGATAAGGCACCAATTAGTTTCTTTAAGGTCACTGCCCTATGGTTGTTGTACTAAGAAAATATACCTCTATGGTGCCTATCCAAATTCGTTTATGTGCATCTTGGTTTGGTGTGATCTCTGCAGCTGGAGAACAGCCCGAAATCACACGGGACCGACCGATGCCTTCTCGGGTTCCTGAGAATTCAACTCCTTCACTTTGAGGGAGGAGAGGGCGGGGAGCATTGCTGAAACCTGATCATATTGCTATCACAAAGAAATGGAGAGAAGAAAGGAGGAAAGAGAGATGAGACAGTACCATTATTATATGGAAATTCTGTCCATGCATAACTTTGGCATTTATTACCCATCCATCTCACATTTTCTGATAAACAACAATAGTAAATTCAATAACCAGGTGCCTACACTACTAGTACATCTGATTAGAAATAAACAACATTTAGCTAGAGAGGCCGGGTCTTTCCATCTCACATCTACTTACCATTTGAATCAAAATAAATGGACTAATGTTTCTTGTAAGACTTAGTAGTACGAGTACCTGTGTCATCCCCTTGCTGTTGGTGGGCTGGTGGATGGAGAGATATTCATAGATCTTGCAGTCGACCGACCAACCAATTCTCCAATCCTTGCAATGTTCTTCCTATCTCGATTCAATTGACAAAATGACCCATAATCGCCATCTAAGCTTTCAATGCAGCTCTCTACAACCCGTGCCTCCTCCAGCAGCTCTAGTTTACAGTTACCGAATATAGAAATGAAGAAACGCGAACAATTAGAAACAAACTTATTTGAAAACTTGTTTAGCCTGATGAACAGTAAAAAGATTGATCCTCAGCACCACCACCACTCTTTAAAGTCTCAGGAAGTTCCATATATCAGATGAGATGCTTTCATTCTATTGATCTGGCTCCAAAAACCATCATAATCTTCCTCGTGTAAAAAAAGCCATCCAGCTTTGTTCAAGTGGGTGGGTATACATGAATTTTTTTTCTTCGGTATTGAAGAATAACCCTTTGACAAGCAGTAATAAACTTACCGCACAAAATTGTGACGGTGCTCAGTAACAGTTGAAACTTCTTGTAGTCCAACGTTCTATAGGATGTCAACAAAATTTGGAGCATCGTCCCTTGGCCCCTCGAGAGATCTATACATATATAACACCTGGACATGGTTCTCCATATCCTCCACCTGGACATGGTTCTCCACATCCTCCACCTGGACATGGTTCTCCTCCATATCCTCCTCCACCTGGACATGGTTCTCCTCCATATCCTCCACCTGGACATAGTTCTCCATATCCTCCACCTGAATATGGTTATTTATGTCCTCGCCGTTTTCATTCCTCATCACCTCAACCACTAAGTGAGGCATCGCTCGGGCAACCTCTTGGCAGCCTTGGCGAGACAATTTACATGATGACATCCAGAGGAATCTCATGTTATAGTAATGATGTAAACCAGATCGCAGGGCTCCATCGCCAAAAGGGCTATCTCTAATCTCAAGTTTTTGTAATCTAAGACAGCCCTCGAGCACATATTTCAATCCCAAATCACTATTTCCAGCAAAAGCAACTGATAGGGTGCGTACCAGTTTTCCATACTTCCCAATGTAGCTGAAAGCACGATCGGTCAATAATCCAGATATGGCAAGCCTGGTGAGCTTCTTGCAGTTGATAACAATGGCACCAAACCCTTCATCCATGGGTTCTCCAGTTTTATGGTCCGGTTGGTGTCGCCCCATAATGCATAGCCTGAACACCACAAGATCTTGACAGTTCTTTGACATGGCAATCACAGCTGCATTCGTCATTCTCTGGCAGAAGTAGAGGATATATTGCAATTTCCTACAACCCTCAGATATTGCTTGGAAGCCCACTTCAGAAATGGGGCCTTCACCATCTTCTCGAGCGTCTACAGGAAAAACCCTAAGTTCTTGAAGTTCCTTGCAAGTTGAAGCAACAGCTTGAAGTCCATCATCACATATTGAATCAAGAGCCTGCAATATAAAGATTTAAAAAAAGGGGGGGAGTAAGCTTTGCAAGCGAAATTCCTTCCCGATAATTCATCTATACTCAAAGATCGCATACCCAGAAAGTTTGGAGCTTATGACAATGGCTTATAACTGGTTTGAGTTGTTCAGCAGTTATATTTGCATAGCTCAAGTTCAGAGTGGTGAGATTCGCACAAACTGGATAGATACATGGTAGGTAATCAGGCAAAATGTCCTTGAATCCAGAGAGACAGACTAAGGATTTGCAAGCAGCAAATGCGGCAGCATAGTCGGGCTCTAGCTCCCCGTGAACGATGGCCTCCGGGTTACAGAACGAACCAGTTCCAAGATGTGTTAGCTTTGGAGCCCGAATCATCAGATGGTATAGCTGTGTGATGGAAATATAACGATTCACTCCGAGTTTCTTCAAGTAAGGGGATCTGGTCACCAACATCTCCAATGCCTCAAAATTGATGGGGCATTCTACGCAATCAAAAACTAGAGATTCGAGACAGGTTTCCTTCTCTGGGAAACAAGATATCCAATCCACTTCATCATCTGTTACGTCAGATTCAATCAGATCAAGCACTCGAAGATGCCTGAAAGATAAATCAAGCAGCCTAAGTTGAATAACCCAGCCATTAATTCATAAGCTTGAACAAAAATTTGGCATTAGTTACCCCTCTCACAATCTTATCAAAATTCAATATCCTTCAAGATCAGCATGTCTTGCTCAGATTAAAAAAACCACATTATTCGAAGAAATTATCCCGAAAAGCAGACAATAATGCAAACGCAAGGAACAAAATTCCATTCTCGTGATATTGATAGAAACGAAGATGAAAAATGAAATCTACGCGCGTACCTACACCTAGAAGCGACCACAGCAATCCCGCTGGTGCCGAAACCTTCGCAGCAGAAAAGCACGAGCTCCTTGAAGCCGGGGAAAGACTCGGCGAGTAGCGCCAGATCATCGTCCGTGACAGACATACGCTTCAAGTAGATTCTCTCGAGCCAAGGGTAGGATTTGGCCATGGCTGCAACCCAAGGGGCAAAGTGAGCTCCCCAATTGGGCGGCATCAGGTTGAAATCCGCGAACCGCGGCTTTCCCTTGATCGACACTGACCGGACTCGGCCAAACCGCGCCGTGACGCGGCAGGGGGAGACAGCATAGCAATTTCCGATGAAGAGGTCGGATCGAGTGAGGGCTTCGACGCGATACCATGACTTGCAGACGAGCGAAGCAGCGCTCCGGTCACGGCGAGAAGTGAGGAAGTGAAGCACGTTCTCAAGGACATTGTGGAGGATATTCTCAGCAGAACCAGAGCCGGAAACATCGCCGGAACATCCGGTGCAATTGCGAGCTTTACTGGCGGATTGGGCGGCGCCCAGATCCGAAGTCAGAGATCGATCGTCGTCTTCGGACATTTGTTCTTGTTGTTCTTCAGCTCGATTTTCCACTCTCACTCAATCTGATCTCTCTGCCACCAAACAAAAAACCAACCACAACCACCAAGTGTGAATCAGATCATGGGGTTGAAACTGAAAAGCAAATGGATTTGATTTAGGTTAGGAAAAATGAAGAGAGAGAGAAGAAACTCCATACCTGTGATTTGAGAGGACTGTGAAATGATATGGAAGTTTGGAGGGATTAGTTGAAGTGATCACAAGGACAATGGAGTATAAACAGTAGCCTCTTCTCTTCTGCCCATTGGGATTCTTCTTTCTTGCTTCTCTCTCTCTCTCTAAATTTCTCTCTCTCTCTCTCCTCCTCCAATTCCAATTCCAGTTTTCCAAATGGCTCCCCACACACCTGCTCTATTATTTAGGGACTTTCCCTTCAACAATCTTGTCCTTTCATTTCACTTCATTACTTTTTTTTTCCTTTCAATATTTATTTAGGGCATTATTGGCCTAAAGCTAGAACTAAAACAAACTACTCTTGCTCTTGCTCTAACTCTTGAGTCTTGAGTCTTGCCTTTGTGGGTCAATCAACTTTACTCTCTCACATCTCCTCTAGGTAAAAGTTCTTTTGGAATGTTACAAAAATATCGAGGTAAATTGAAAATATTAATAAGATGTAGGATTCATTTTGAAGAAATATGTTGAACAACGATGATATTGATCTTGCAAAAATCTGCGACTCATTGGAGGAATGCAAGAAATGGTGAATCAGAGAACGATCAACTTGCGATTTAGTGGGCAGGGCTAGCGAAACTGAAACTTGAGATAGTTTGGGACCTTTTCCCGCTTTGGTTGGAATTTAGTTGTTCATAAAATTTTCTTACCTAAAAAAAATTTCAAAGTCATTAACAGGTAGAAATGTCGATACGTCGACAGAAATTTACTATCCTACTCCCTCCTTGGTATCTCCAACTTACACTGTGATATATATTTTTTCCTCTCTTAATATTTGACAAACGTAGAAGTGCAAATTTGAGACTTCAGACAAATTTGAGACTTCAGAAAAAGAAAGAGATGTTTTAGTGTAAAAAGTTTTTATTGCATTAATTGTGACTAATATAAAAAGATAAATAGATATTTTAGTTGGTAACAAAATCTTTGGAGATGATCTTTGAGGTTTAATCTAATTATCAAAGATCAAATTTAAACTAGATTGAGACTATAAGAACCAAAATTTTAATTCATCCTTCCAATGTTTGAGGGAGGATAGTAATATTAATATCATTTTTTCTAGCTCACCAAGAGGTGAAGGACTCGAGCTTCCAACTTTAAGAAAGGTAAATAATGTTTTCACTAATTGAATTATGTTCGTGATGGTAAATTAATATTTTAAGTTATTAATTTGTTTATGTCATTTAAATAATACCAAATAAATAAAAAAAATGATTAATTTTTAATATTGTGTCGATATAATTATCTTTTAAAAATATAATTCAAAATATGTCAAATCAACTTTTTGTTGTTATAATTAATGGTAGCGATCAAGATCATTTAGAATTTAATTAATGATATTTTGAAGCTTAACGAGGCTTAGATAGAAACGTGGGTAGTTAGATACCACAAGTGTAATTAGTTCAAATTATTGATCTAATTATATTTTAGCGTCTAAATTTTCTTACAGGTTCGTGGTTCAAATTTCTTTTACCCTTCCAAATTTTTTTTTTTCATTTTGATCATTATACTTTAAAAAATATTTATTTTAGCTTCATACTTCCAAAAACGAAATCAAAGTAGTTTCTAAATTAGTAAAACATTTTAGATGTCCAATTGTTGGTGGCGAGTTATGGAGAGGTCTACGTGTCCCTTGAAACAAGGCGTCGACAATGAACAAATAGCCTGCAACTACAAATCTCGACACCGTGTAGTGCCCCACCTAAAAGACCCCGATGATCAAGTTCGAAAAATACACGCCGACCAGTATTTCTATTCACCAAATATTAGCCTAGATGGGACATTGGTTGACAATCTCCTCTAGTGGGCCGAAAGGATGAAACAAAGCTCCCACAAGCGGAACTACACCAAATATTATAAGTTCCACGATCACGACACAGAAGAGTGCTACGATATCAAAAACCAGATCGAGACACTAGTCCAGCAGGGATAACTGAAGGAGTTTGTAGGCTAAGAAGCTACATCCAGTCGAGGACCAAGCGGTATACCAGGATGAGCGACTAGAAGCCAAAATTCTTGAAGAAGGACGACCGTCCGCAGGCCATCCTCATAATTTGTGGAGGACCTGCCATTGGGCTACTCGGGCAATAGACAAAAAACCCTAGCCTAGCAGGTCGGAAACAACCTTGTCGCCTAGGAGGTTCTGGTAGCAAGAATAACCAAGCTAAGCCTCCTTGTGACCTTCTCAGAGATGAAGCTGCCTCGCAGAGAGGGATAGGTCGACAGGTGGTCTACCCACCAGCTAGGTGTCAGGGATGTTTGTCCCTATCTATTAGAATCCCGCTCAAACCGTCATCCTTCTTGGTACGCCACGTCTGTCTATCAAAAAAGAAAATATTTCACAACTACCTAAGTGAAAAATCTGTCTGTTATTGAATTAATAAGGTGCTCATTCCTACTTTTCAGTCTAATTGCTAATTTAATTATTGAAGTCTTTCACATGGGACACCGTACCAGTATCGAAATTTGTAGTTGGATGCTCATTTGCGAAAGTAGATAAATAGAAATAACGTGAATGTATAAATAACGAAATAAATCTAAAGTGATCTGTAAAAAAAAAAAAAGAAAATCTAAGTGAAAGAGGTAGAGTAAAAAATAGTATTTAAGTCTAAAAGTTTAAACCTATTTTAAAAATTCACCAACCGAATCCTCCCATGCCTTGCGTTCCCGGGCAAAACCATCCATTTCCGATCTCTCCCTCTTCAAACCATGCTCCGTACTGTCAAGGTCGGCGCCGAAGACGTCGCTCCGGCGCTGTCCGATAACTGGTCCGGCCACTCCTCTGACCTCCATTGAAGCTGCTTCGGCAGTGCTTCCTAAATCCAATCCAAATGTTTATTCATCCAGCTCTTCTTCGGTTCCTCCCGCGGTAAGTACACTCAAGACGCCTCTGAAACTGACCGTCTTATAAATTATTGTGTAAATGGAGGTCGTTTTAATTTGTCAATAGTTTTTTTTTTTTTTTTCAAACAATGGATTCTTAGGGTTCCTGATTGTATTTAGTTAAGAAGTGATTAGGAAGTCGGGGAACAAGGCGGCTGAGGCGATCAAGATGAGTGAGGATCTCGCAAGGAACATATAATGTGGCATCATTGCGAGTCCTTGCTTTTATTTTTGATTCTTAGCGAACGTTTCAGTATATTATATTTCCAATTCCATTAGTTACGTTACGATCGAGGAGTAGCATTGGCGCGCCAATTTCCCTCTCGCAAGAGCAGCGTTCGAGAAATTGTGTTGAAAATTTTCGTTTGCTTATTAATGTTTCAACTTATGGTCATATTCATGTAGAATCTAGATTATCTGAAATAGTATATAATCTGAGTTAGCCGTGTGTTAGAACAACAAATTTCATTTTATCTTCAAACTCATTTGACGAACTCACATCTTTTTTCTTTTTGTTTGCCATTGAAAACAGAGCCTAGTGTTGCTGATGCCGCTGTGTGAAGAATTACAGAAGGAACTAAAGTTCTACTGACTTTGGTTGCGAGCAAATGTTCCGGGAGACTTACGCGAGAATGTACCAGAACATTGGCTAATGCTTCTGCACGTTACCTGTTCGAATCTGCTGGTCAGTTATGCGCACAGTATATCCGTCAACTCAAAACTTGCCTCTCCTGTATGAAGATGGCGAGCATATTCGATGGAGCTTTTACAAGGTACATTACTATCATTGGTATCTGAATAGAATGATTTCAAACTTACAAGAATGAGGATAAGAAAATTTTCCTTTCTGTTAATTGGTATCTTATAATTGACAGAAATTCAACCTTGAAATTAAGGCAGTGGTTGGAACTTCTAACATCTTCCAAGAAAATGATTAGGCGAATACATTAAATCTCACGTGGTTTTGCTTGTTCTTGCTGCTTTGCAATCAAAGCTACCATATAGTTCAACTTTTACTGTTTGAAGTACATATTTTTATGTGCACCCGTCCAAAGAGGCCATAATGCATTCGTCACTTTGATGAGACCGTGAAACGGAAAATTCAAAATTTTCTGAAGTCAAACATCAATTATATGTATATTCATGTTTGTGGTTTTGCAAGGGTCTTTGAGATGCTGAAGGAGTTCTTAATCCTGAACTTTTCTCTTTTATTGGGCTTGGGAAACTTTTCTCTTTTATTGGGCTTGGGAAACCTTTCTCTTTTATTGGGTTTGGGAGTTACGAACTTGCAACAAATGTTTAGCATTGCTCCATAGGCTGTAATATATTCACCTCTTCGCCTGACTAGGCTACTTTGAAAATGGAGAAGATAATATTTATTGGAATTAAACAACCATAAAAACTTGTTTAGATCTGAGCATACGGCACGCAGTATAAGGTCTGAGGAATATGGGCCTTTACATCATTGTTTTGCGGAGCTATCTAAATTTCTTATCGTCTACAGTAACTTTTGCTTTCCATACTTCAGTTTTAGGGATTCGTGATTTCATTCTAATGTTGATAGAAGTATTCCAATGAATCCACTGAAGGCAGACTACCATGAACAAGTAAAGATCAACCCAGAAAAATTCACATCAGTTGGTCTATGGGCTGTTTTCTCTGATAGTGCTCTGAAAAAGCTTGAAAGAAATTTTGCAGTAATCCAGTTTCTGATTGGCACGGGTCAAAATTCCCACCAAAATCATAAATGGAAATACTTGTCTAGTGGTTTGTTCACTTTTGAGCATGTTATATCTTGTCAGGAGTCTAGAAAGGTACACAATTAAGTTTTGAGCCTTAAAAAATGTCATAGTGTATGGAATCTCAAATTCAGTTGATAATGAACATGGGTTAAAGTTTTCAGCATCATAGATGGAAATTATCAATGTTGTCTAGCAGTTGATCATCGGCGAGGATTGATGTTATATCCTGTCAAGATTACACAAAGGTACCGTTAAATTTTGAGCATTGAAGAATATCATGGTTTATGAAATCTCAAACTCAGTTCATGATCAACTAGGTTAAATTTCCACCATTTTAAATAGAAATTACCAACATTGGCTTGCAGTTGATCATCGGTGAGATGCTATATCCTGTCAAGAGTATGGAAAGGTACAGTTGAATTTTGTGCATCGAAGGATGCCATGGTTTGTACTTTGTGGAACCTCAAACTCATTCTCTGTTGATTATTTATGATTTTAATATGCAGAGTCAAACAAAATTTTTTTCTTTTGACAAAAATAAGCCAAGCATATCATTGAAACCTATAATGACAAAAATGTTAATCGCAATTGTATTATCAAATTCTGCTAAGCAACTTGATATTTACTCATGACTCTCTGTTTGTTTTCTAGCAAGGAAAGATGCTGAGTTGACAAGCTTTGAAGCGACAAGTTTAGAAGAATCCTCAATTACATTGTAGCTTGCAAGCGTGAGAAAACACTAACAAAAAGAGTTTGAAGAGCTTACACTTTTTTTTTGTGTGTATGTTATTAAAGTCTGAGAGTAAATATAACTAATATAACTAAGCTTAATATATGTTTTTAGGGTCTCAGGCCAATGGAGCGTTGTGCAACATGGACGTCTATGCTGAAGTTTTAGTCAAATGGCCAAGTGGAGTTGGAAGCGTACTGAGAGTTAAGTATTCATCAACACTTCTAATAGAATTATAATTGTCTTAAGCTTACTTGAAGAATTTGATGGATCAATTCGAGACTAAAATAAACAAATGTTAATTCAAATAATGACCTTTGAGATTAAATAAATATGGCCACCCACTGCGGATTACAAGAGTTTTATACCCATTTGAGCTTGGGCTTCTAGAAGCACTAAAGTTTGGCAAGTATGCTAGGGCCTACTTAATAGTTAATGTGTAGGTTGTAAGCTTATGCATGCGTATGGCTGATTCAGTTCAAGAAATATTAGAAAAAGAGATTAGAATCGACAATATGTTTGACACTCTAGCTCTGTTGAGATCGGCATATGATTTTGTCACTTGGTGGTTTATTTCTTTTAATTTTTATTGTTTTCTGTTTTGAGATTTGCATCATATTTCTTATTTTTTTAAGTATAAAGTATCATATTCGTAGTTTAAAAAGTATTATGGTTCTTGTAATCATTTTGTTTCTATATTATCTGCTTGTGAAAAGAAAAGTTCTTTAATACCGCTGTAAATCCCATATGTAAGTTGTTCTACTATTACTTTTCTATCCAATAGATATTGGCTTCACTCAAAGATATAGAACTTGCTCTTTTTATATCTATTTTTTTCCCCACGGATACTATCCCATCATATTAAGAGCATCATGTCGAGCGAGAATTCAAACATTTGACTTCGTAGAAACATTACCTATAGATTACTTTTAAATTTTAGATTTAAAAAACTAAAGTAGAAGATTTAAAATTAGAATTATATCCGAATTAATTTCATTTACTAAGTTATAAAAAGAATAATTTTAGAATAATTTTAGATGATAAATAAACCTAAATTACATTCCATTTATGTTTACTCTTTACTTTGGACATATTTTTAAGTAAAACTTACGTGCAAAAGAGGTTGACAACTATTTATTCTATTTTTTATGCATTCATGTATTTTAGTTGTCAAATTTTTAGTAAAAAATACTTGAGTAACTTTATCGGTAAATAAATATATTTTGACGACCCTTGAATATTTGACTAGTAAAAAAAAAAGAATTAGACTTTTTAAGGAAACAGTGGGTTGTCAAACATTAAGAAATGACAATCTAAGTATTTTCCGCCCCAAGTAAAGGGATACTACATACTTTGAGCACTAAGTTATATTCTTTTCAGGTACGCCTCTGCCTCGGAAACATCGGATGCATCCCGCTTCCCATTTTCACGATCCCGACTGCCTACCACTCAGTACCTCATGGCGAGTGTGTCACACGCGCCGCCGCAAATTGTTTGACCCAGGGCATGTACCCGACGACGATCGATTTCTTTACATCCGCAAGTTGTCGGAGGTCAAATTGACAAGCCCGCGACTGCAAACTCTGCGGCGGGATTCTTTCTTACACTCTGCAGCGAATGCTCTTATTGCCGTAGCCATAACTGCTGCAATGAAGTCGTTTTTCGTACGGCGGCTGTTGGCCCGTGATAAACCTTCCGTTGCTGCTTTCTAGACACTGCCTTGGCTGGCCGCCATGACCTAAGGTTTCCCGCAGTGAACTCGTTCGCCATTCCGGCGAGCAAATCCGTTTTCCATGGTCATAAATTCGAGGTTTTGCCTTTACTTCTGAGATTCCAGTGACAGAAACCGTGAACAGTAATGGCAGATTCTGCATCGCAATTTGCAAGAGAGATATCCATGGAAACTGAAACTATTTTGATGCGCTGAGGTGGACGTGCGATGGAGCATAGAAAAAGAAGAGAATAGATTCAGTGCAGACGTAGAAGGAGGATGGATTGGGAAACGACAGCAGCAAACGCCATTAGTGGCTGAGAATGAGAAGCGGACGCAGCTCGCGAAATCTGCATCTCGGTTGTACGGTTTGAAGACTCAATTTCTAATGATTCTCCAACTTTGGTGAACCGTAGACTTCAGAACGGGCACAAAGGAGAGAATCGATCCTTCAGATTAGATGCAATGACCTAATCGGTCACTGGAAAGAGCTCCTTGCCATCGTGGATTTCCTCCGTGGAAGGTAAATATTCCCTATTCAAGAATTTCTTCAGGAGGATTCGTTTTTAAGATTGCATATGATGTGATATTAATAAGTTGATATCATATGCAGTCTTTTCACAAAAAGAAAAAAAAATCGCATATGATGTCAATTTATTAATTTAAAGATTTAAATATTATTTTGGTGGATATAATATCGATTTTGGTTGATTTTGATTTTTGTACTTCCAAAACATCTATTTTAGCCTTACGACATTTCACTCACTAAATTTTATAAATTGTGCCATAAATTTGTATTAATAGATTTTCATTTGGTAGAAAATTTTGTAAAATATTTTTGTAAATAATGATCTAAATAGTAATTTTTTAGAAGTATAGCGATCAAATGTTTTGAAAGTAGATGTACTAAAATAAATCAAAGCTAAAAATATATGGACGGGAAGCTACTTTTATTTCTATATTTAATTCGAAATAAATTTTAACTTAATCTGTCAAATTAAGTTCTAAACTTAAATAGACTGTTAAAATTAATATTTAAGTTAAAACTCAACCCATAAAATACCCAAACTCAAGTTATAATGCTTAAACCAAACCACTCAAATAATTGATTCTATCAACAAATTAAACTAGTAAAAGAATCCGGTATTAAAATATTCAATTTCATCTAAAAACATCCCACACATAAAAACTCACAATAATATTCTCTTCTATCTAAATGTTCCATAACTAGCCACAAAAATTGTAAACTCACATATTAGACAGCACATATTGCAAAATTTAATTAAGTTCGTGTTTCAATGGGATGAAATTAAAATTTTAATATTAAATTTGACAGAATATACTCAGAAAAGTTTAAAATTTTATTAAGAATAAAAACATAAGGTAATGTATTTAAAAAAAATGAAAAAGAGGGAGAAAATGAAGGCAAGAGCGCATAAAATGAATTTCATGCAGAGAGAGTTTTTACCTAAGTTCCGTCTCCCAAGTTCCGTTGAATTCACCCATTCTATAAGCTGCATCTATATCTCAATTAAGCACACTCATAATTCTCTAAATTAAGCACACTCATAATTCTCTAAATTTTCTCATTAGACYTCAAAGAAAGGGAACGTGTATCAATTACCACTAAGTTATGCTCATGTTGGCTATTTATAATTCTCTAGTTTCTTTATTTCTTTATATAATTTACATATCAATAAGACCTAATTTGTTTGAGCTTCTTCTAACTTGTAACAAATAATTTGACACATGGAAAAGCAAACAAAAAACTTAATGAAAATGAGAATCTAAACATAGCTCAACCAAACGAGGATATTTTTGTTGTTCTGCCTATATTATTATGTGTCAAACAAATTAGCTGGGGATTAGTTATAATGTGATTAGGATTTTGTGGATGAAGGAAAAGCAATTGGCATGAGTTCCATTATCCTTTAGCAATTCAACCTCCCCCCAACCCCGATGTTCATGATGTGGTAAAAGGGTAAGGAAAACATAGGCTGTTGCCAACTTGGTTGGACAACATAAGGTTAGACAAGAAAGCAAAGCCTCAGCTTTGGTTCCCCACACATTCAATGCCACAGACGCACAGTCACAACCCACTTTGATGATAGCTTTGCTTTTAACTCCTTCGAGACCCAGCCTCCTTTAAAACGCAAACTCAGGGGATGTGACAAATCATCAAATCATTGACCCTACACTGATCCTATTTGGAAACTGCCAATACACTCTCGAACTTTACTATTCAGCAACACCAACCAACCCTCATCTAAGCTTCTCAACAATCTCACATAATAGAATTTCAACTTCAAAGGAGAAAATAGAATTTCAACTTCAAAGGAGAAAATAGAATTTCAACTTCAAAGGAGAAAACAGGTCAGGTTCCGGAAGTCTCAAGTTCAAATCTTCCGGTCAAAAGTATTTTTGATGTCTCTCAAATTCGAGTTTTGGGGTAGGCATGATGACACTGGGTATTAAAAAAAAAAAAGAAAGAAAAAAGAGAAAGGAGGGGAGAGGGACCTCCAAGTTGTACTTGTTCAACACCTTCCCCATGGCCATCAATGGCCACATCACTCTCAATTCATATCCAAATCAAGGACGCCAAAATTAAAGCATAGACAGTACCATTAGCTAGCATATGAGAATCCTGTTCATGAATATTTTAGCATTTATTACCAATCTCACATTTGCTGATAAATAACAATAATAAACTCCACAACAGCTGCTACACTACACCAGTCCCTCTGATTAGAAAACAAAGAAAAAACATCATCATTTGAGGAAAGAGAAGAATCCTACTCGGTTTTTCATTCTCTCATCAATGGCCTAAACCATCTACCATATGAATCGAGACGAACTAAGGTTCCTTGTAAGACTGATTACCTGCAATCCCCCTGCTGCCGATCACCGTAGAGAAAGGATCTTGTTCTTGGATCTCTTAGTCGATTGACCCTCCAATGTTTTAAAGTTCAATCTGAATTTGATAGACGACAAGATCCACAAGTGTTAGCAAAGCTTTTGATGCAGCTCTACGACCCCTGCCCTCTCTAACCTCTCTTGTTTACAATTACGGAATGCAGATTTGGAGAAACATTAAGAATTAGAAAAATACTGATATGACAAGAATGTTTAGCCTGACGAATCGCATAGGAAGTCCCATACCCCAGAAGAAATATGCTCCATTCTAGAAATTTGACTTCAATTCCGCTGCGGTGTTCCTGATCCAATAAACAGATGCTCAACTTTGTTCGGGGGGAGACAGGAACCTTCCTGCAGTAATAAATATTAGACCTTCCCGCACAACAGTGTGATCTCGCTCGACCAGTTGAAATAATAGGGAACCTAAAATTCTATAGGATGTCTACAAATTCTGGAGCATCGTCCCTCGGCCCTTCAAGAGATCTATACATGTATAACACCTGAACCTGCTTCTCCATATCCTCCACCTGAAGATGGTTATCCATCTCCTCAATATCATTCCTCATCACTTCAACCACTAAGTGAGGCATTGCTGTGGCAACCTCTTGGCAGCCTTCGCGAGACAGTTTACAATCTGACATCCAGAGGAATCTCATATTATAGTAATGATGTAAACCAGATCGCAAGGCTGCATCGCCAAAAGGGCTATCTCTAATCTCAAGTTTTTGCAATCTAAGACAGCCCTCTAGCACATATTTCAATCCCAAATCACTGTTTCCAGCAAAAGCCACCGATAGGGTGCGTACCAGTTTTCCATACTTCCCGATGTAGCTGAAAGCACGATCGGTTAATAGTCCAGATATGGCAAGCCTGGTGAGCTTCTTACAGTTGATAACAATGGCACCAAATCCTTCGTCCATGGGTTCTCCTGTTTTGTGGTCTGGCTGGTGTCGACCCATAATACACAACCTAAACACCACAAGATCTTGGCAGTTCTGTGACATAGCAACAACAGCTGCGTTGGTCATTGTCTGGCAAAAGTAGAGAATATATTCCAATTTCCTGCAACCCTCAGATATTGCCTGGAAGCCCACTTCGGAAATGGGGCCTTCACCATGTTCTCGAGCATCAATGGGGAATACCCTGAGTTCTCGCAATTCCTTGCAAGTCGAAGCAACAGCCTGAAGTCCTTCGTCACATATCGAATCAAGAGCCTGCAATGCAAAGTAAAAAGGTAAGCTCTACATGCCAAATTTCCTCCCAATTAGGCACATCTACCCAAAGTTCACATACCCAGAAAGTCTGGAGCTTGTGGCAGTGACTTATAACTGGTTTGAGTTGTTCAGCAGTTATATTTGCATAGCTCAAGTTCAGAGTTGTGAGATTAGCACAAACTGGATAGATACATGGTAGGTAATCAGGAAAAATGTCCTTGAATCCAGAGAGACAAACTAAGGATTTGCAAGCGGCAAAAGCATAGCCATAGTCCAGCTCTGATCCCCCCTGAATCACAGCCTCAGATGTACCGAACGAACCAGTTCCGAGATGTGTAAGATGTGGAGCCCGAATCATCAAACGGTATAGCTGCCCAAGCAAAACGTAACGATTCACCCCAAGTTTCTTCAACGATGGGGATCTACCCACCAACATCTCCAATGCCTCGAAATTAATGGGACATTCTACACAATCAAAAACCAGAGACTCAAGACAAGTTTCCTTCTCTGGGAAACAAGATATCCAATCCACTTCATCATCTGTGACGTCAGATTCAATTAGATCAAGAACTCGAAGATGCCTGAAAGATAAATCAAACAGCCTAAGTTGAACTGAAAAACCACCCCCAAATGGATATGGATTTAAAAGCATACAGATTCAAACATTGATCCCTAGAGACACGCTAACAAAGGTACATTGTTTTTTAGAACTGGTAGTCGAGCTTTGCTCCCCCATACTCAGAGCCACCCACACCTTTCCAAGTCCCAAACCCAAGAGACCTCAAAGATTTTTGGTATTAATTAAGCTCGCCCAGAATTCCAAACCTGAGATCTCTAGGTCATATGACCTAGAGGTGTCAAGTCCTCTCCGACCGGTTTCGTTTGAAAGTGCACATTCAAGGAATCATCAGAATCCAAAGCTCACAATATTGAGAAGAAGAAATGTGGGGGCGTACCTGCACCTAGAGGCAACCACAGCAAGACCACTGGTGCCAAAGCCTTCGCAGCAAAACAAAACGAGCTCCTTAAAGGCAGGAAAGGAGTCGGCCAGCAGCGCGAGATCGTCGTCAGTGACGGACATGCGCTTCAAATAGATTATCTCGAGCCAAGGATAGGACTTGGCCATGGCCGCCACCCATGGGGAGAAATGGGCGCCCCAATTGGGCGGCATCAGGTTGAAATCCGCGAACCGGGGCTTCCCTTTGATCGTCACGGACCGGACCCGGTTGAACCGGGTCATCACGCGGCGTGGGGAGACGGCGTAGCAGTTTCCGATGAAGAGATCGGATCGGGTGAGGGCTTCCACACGGTACCATGACTTGCAGACGAGGGACGCCGCGTTCCGGTCGCGGCGGCAGGTCAGGAAGTGGAGCACGTTCTCCAGAACATTGTGGAGGATGTTCTCGGCGGAGCCGGACCCCTCGCCACCTTCATCGGAACCGCCGCTAAAATTCCGGACTTTGTTTGCGGCGGCGGCGTCAGTACTCAGATCCACAGGTGGGGGGCGATCGTCGTCTTCAGACATTTCTGCTAGCTCCACTCTCACGTGATAACTCAAACTCCACTAACTCAAAATCCCCTCTTTTCTTCTGATTTCTACTGAAGAGAAAAGGCAAATTCCCGATCAGATCATGGAAGTGAATGAAGCCGGGTCTGGAAAATCAAAATGGGATGTGAGAGAGAAGAAATGATATGGTGGTTTGGAGGGATTAGTGTAACAGATCACAAGGACGGACAATGGAGTGTGAACAGTAGGCTCATCTGTCTGTATCTCTGGGCATTGGGATTCCTCTCTCCTCTCTCCTCTCTCCTCTCTCCTCTCTCCTCCCTAATGGGTTCCCACACAGCTGCTCTGCTCTATTATTTGGGGGTTTCCCTCAACAATCTTGTCCTTTCATCTCACTGCTTACTTTTACCATTTTCCTCCGAAAGCCCAAAAGAAAACATGGACATACAATATAAGAAATGAAAGATACGTGAAACTTGGAAGAATTTACAGTACACAGATACGCATAAATCGTAATTGGATACCCTTTACTGTTTGACTTGTGATTTTAGAATGATTACATTTGGATTTAAGCGAATACGTGTTGAAATTGAAATAATTATTTTTGTGAGTAGTGTAGACTAGTAGTGAGTAGTGAGAGTGTCAAATCAGGTGTGAGAATCTGCTGCAGGGTTTCGTATATATTTGTAAATGTAGAATTCTCAGGTGAATTCCAATACGCACTCTTCCGTACTCTTTGAAGGTACAGGTACGTATACGCAGCTTTTTTTTTTTCGGTTTGAATTCAAGCTGCAGATAAAATATCCAACTTTTTAATCTGATAAGATATTTTAATCAATTAAGTGGGAGTGAAGCCCTAAATATTCTAGGGCCCATGGGCCTATTCTGGTATAGACTAGGGCAAGAGTTGAGGGTGAAACATACAAAACCTGTTTTCGATTCATATTTTGAAGACAAAACCTGTTTGCTATTACATATTGATTTAGTTATGTAATTATTTTAATTGTTTGACTATTTTTTGCAAAAATTCTGTTAAAATAAGCCAGATATGTGTTTAAATTTCAGGTAACGTTATAATTGTCTTTTTAAAAAGAATATTTTCACTAAAGCAAATTTCTAAATAAGTTCAAATTACTTATTACATGTTGATCTAGTTTTAAAAAAGTGTGTAAATATATAATAGCATCAAGAAACTAAATACGTATATACATGTAAATTTAGAGAGAGGACATTGTACGGAAATCACAGGTAAGTCCATAAGCCGGTGGGCCTACGGGCGGCATAATGACAAAGCCCAGCAAAGGTCAAGCAACATTGGCCCTATCATTGTAGCAAGTCACGGTTGAGTAGGGCCCACTTTGTTTTGTTTTCAAATAAAGGGCTACTTTAAACTATTACTATTAATAGTTTTTATTTTTTTAGATTTATTCATTTTTTATTTGTTATTTTGGAATTATCCAGTATATATATATATCTTTTATAGACGTAGTGTGCTCTAATTAGATATTTAAATTGAATTATCTAGTCAACAATCAAACTATCGTTATTGATGGTTGCTATTCCTAAGAGTAACATTTCCAATTAGACGCATAAGTAGTTAATTCAATTTCTCTTGTTTAATCTCAAGCACTGAATAGTTTTTTTAAGACAAATTTAGAACTCTATAAACAAATATGTACACAATGGAAACTGGAAAATAGAGCGTAGAGACATATACTATACATGTTCGAGGGCTGCTGATTTGCCAGCTTCATCTTATTCTGTACATAACATTAACATCACCACATATAGAAGAAAAGAAAAATATTGTGATGGAAAACAAGTTATTAAAGAGAGGGAATGCAGAAAATAGAAATTTACAATAATTTACACAGCAAAAAGAAAACAAATGAAAATAACACCTCTAAAAGTAGTAGCTTGGATGGTAAATGTTCTATATTATGAACTTGAACTTATCAACGTTTCATCTCAACTTATAGGAGTCTGCTGAAGGATATGTTCGGTGCTACCCGCTACTCACCACCTATAACTACTCCGATTTCTGCCAAAGAAACCAAGAAAAAGAAAGAGCAACAAAAATCGAATGTAAATATAGTCACAGATGTACATAATTTATAAAGCGTCAACAAACAAAAAGCTATCCAAAGTTCAATAAAAAATCAAATTGTGGTGAAGAAGAAAAAATCTAGTACTCCAAATGTTTACCCCTTCTCTCTTAATATTTAGGTGCATAATTAATTAATGTCTTGTTTTATTTTATAGATCTCATATTATTATTTTATTATTTTTTATTTTTATTTTTTTTATGACTAAAAGTCGCACCCTATACCCAGAGGTACCCGCACTCATCCCGAGACCCGAGTGTATGAGACATCAAGGGTATTTGACATTAAGTTCACGAAGGTTTAAACTTGAGATCTCTAAGCCAGTATGACCAAGAGACCCCAAACCTTTACCAACCGGGCTATAGCTTGAGGGCTTATAGGCCCCACATTATTCTAAAATGTTTTTGACCTAGCCTAAACTTATGGTAGTAGCTTGAATATTTTTCATATTCATGTAGTACCAAAAATTTTCCTGTGTATAATTGCACGGTAGATGTATGGGGGTGTGTGTGGAGGTCAGTATCAGAGTACAACTAATAAGATGCCAACAGTGGTGCACCAAGGGAACATGATGGGAAATTATGAATTGTGATTGCTTCCTTGTGTACGTGTGAGAGCTCAGAGGAATCCTCTATTATGCTATGATTGCACATGAACTACTAAAAGCTCTCTCAAGAGAGGTTAACTAAAAAAAAAAACTTTGAGAAATGTGTGCATTATACCACTTACCTGCGTGACTGCATATTAACAACAACAAAAAAGAACTATGTATCAACTCTGAGCACATTCAAATGGATGAAGGCTTCCTTCTGAGAAATCGTGCATCCTAAACCGTTCCAAAATTTCAAACGGCCTGCACATAAATTTAATTGTTCTTCAGTTATGAAAAGAAATGTGGAAAAATAATACGACAAACTTGATCTAGGGGRAAAGGTTTCCACATATTAGATAATGTTATGGGGTTGGTGAAATTCTGCGTAGAGATACATACTGAAGTTCTTATGACTTTTAATGTCATATGTGATACAATTAGGACAACTTATACACAAGATAGTTAAAATAACTTCTTTTAAACAAGAAACCGAGTTTCAGTAGGATCAAATGAAACAATATATAAAGGACATACAAAAAAAATACAAGTCCAACACAAGGGATCCTAATCCAAAAGAATAATACCTAATTGATAATTATAAAAAAACCATCAAAACTGGTATCCATAGGGAGGAATTAAATCTAATAATATCCCAAATTTCCTCTGGGGCCTCTCACCTCCCAAAAAGTTGAGAAAAGAGTGGTGAGATTGAAAGATAACTAGTGGAGCGAGCGAAAAAGTAAAGGGAGTTTGGAAGAAGGGTCCAAAATGCCGTTTGTAATTGAAGGGTTGGAGGCCTTACGTGTTATGTCGTGGGATCAGTTTAGGTGTGTTTAAGCTGTGTCTACGTACTCACATATCATTTCTAAAAATGGATAGGTACATTTAAGATCATCATCAGGCATCTAGAAATTAAAATTAGAACAAAATCAAATAACCTCAGAACCTGAAACAAAACGTTGCAATATACCAAGCCATGAATATTTTAAGCTTTCTGGTAGATAATAATAAGTCAACATATTTTATGAGGGTTAAGGAATCCGTGCCGCTTACAGTATGGCTTCTCTATTACGGCAGAGTCTGCGCTGATTGTTTTCCATTGCAGTCAACACATCGGAGGCCTGCGGTCCGACTGCTCCACCGGCTACAATTGATGGGACTGGAGCAGTGGGAGTCCATAGCTGGGAGGGGGGAGGACCATCAGTAACTCCGAGATCAATCACGGTCACTTCAATCATATACAGATATACTACATTTCGTCATGCTTACCTTTATGGTATTGTCGATCCCGCTAGTAGCGATAGCACAATCGTATGGATGACATTGCACGCAATTCACAACTGAAAAGATGTATGAGGTTTTGTACCATTTCAATTTCGGTTTCGGTTTCAGTTAAATGAAAACAATTCATCTTTCAAATTATGCGACATCATTTACCAGCTCCATCTCCAAAAAGTATTTTGATCAGTCTACCAGTTCCCTTTTCCCAAATAAACCATCTACCATCATCACTTCCACTGGCCACATATTCACCTGGAAAAATCATTTTATAGAGATCAACATAGAAATTGTCATCAGTATTCCTTGACGGCCCATATGCTAATTATTTTTTTCAACAAGAACAACTCCACGTCGTTGAATTAATGAAAAGATAATTCAATGTTGAAGGAAACAAACTCTCGAAATAGTGAATTTCACTAAGAAAGCTACAATAAAATAGAAAAAAACAAGGCAAAAGACAAAATACATCTGCTGAAAATTAAGAAACACACCCCAATTAGCCTATATGCTAATTATTAAAACCCAAAATTGGCAATTATATCTTACAACCCATCTTCCCCTCATCTTTCTTCCCTGATTAAAGATTAGCACAAACACGATGTCGTAGTTCAACCGAAACTATAACGTTACTATACCATCATTTACAGTAAAACTCAATCTAATCATTCTGCATTCATTTCCAGGTAAAGATTTCATTATCATATGAATAATAGCAGGTACAGACATACGAACACAAAAGGACCATATCCCTTGGAAGTTGCTACAAAAGCTATGCTTTGTGAGGTTCGGAGGAAGAGGAATTCCAAACTTTTTGAGGAAAAAGAGAGGGACGGAGGGCAAATATAAGGATGAAAATAAAACTTTTGTAAGTACAAGGACGAAATTGAAACCACTAATGTAACTTAGAACAAGGAAACAACTATCTTGTGACTTGGGAGAACCATTCCCATCTCTAAAAAAATTGATTCGTAATGACAATCAACCATGGCATAAAAAATCAATACGGGACAGGTAGCATGAATCTAAAATTTTATCAACTTGCAATGCAATTTATCAAATCCATGCTTCAGCGAATACCTCTTTGCCCGAGAAAACTAGCCTGTTTAATATCAGTTCCAATATTACAATGACCAACATATCTTTGCTTCATATCAATGACAGGCTCCGGCTGCATGTAATATAACATAAATCTTACTCCGAATGAAGAAAATCATTAACTAAAGGTAAACATACAAAAGCAAATAATAGTCAAATTAAAAAAAAAAAAAAAAGATTCTGACAGCAAAAGATTGTAGTTGGTTCCTGAATAACTTATATCATGTGAAATTCTACTTAGACTATCAAAACAGGTGGCTACTTTTGAAAACTCTTGTTTAAAATAGCTAATTTGCCAGCGAGCAAGTAGTATCTCCTTGCTTCAAATAATTTCTGGAAGACTTGAACAACTCCAATAATCACTGCATTGCATTTCTTTCCTTATTCCATATAAGTATCCATATGAAACAAGTCACTTTTTCTTGTCAGTTTTTTGGCATTTTCCCAAGGTGGGGGCATCAATCAGCTTGGACAATGTAATCATCTCATAATCACATAAAGTGATGGACGATAATTAGTATTTCAGGGAAAATCTGAAGAAACAGAGAAACCAAAATTTAAAAGTGTGCCTTCCCCACCCTCCAGTTCTTCAACACTCTTTAACAAAAACCATAGAGGAGGAAGAACTTACAGTCCCTTCACAAATCAAAATTGGCCAGCCAAATCCAAACCTTATTTTGCTTATGAAACTCTAGTTTACCTCTGTCCCAATTTGATAGGATATCATAACTCATATAGAATTTTACTGTGGCACTGAGTTTATTTCTTAACTATGAGTCCAAGATATGCATAATACAGTAATAGCAATAGTGATTTTTCAAACACCAAAACAAAACAGATCAGAATTATGCATAGCATGTGCCATTTTGCATACTTCTCAATCCAGTGAAGTCATATTAGGACATTAGAAAATTTTGAAAGCCAAGTATTACTAGAACCTGATAAAGTATTCCATCATTTTGCGATGATGAAGGAGACCCACAGGAGCCATTTGCGCCAACTCTTTCTCTCGCTGGATCAACTCGTCTATGTATTCTAAGATTTAAACTCCCATGTAGAATGTTGGAATCAACATCATGGGCTTCATCACCTGATAAGGTTTCGAAGTCCAGCTCGACCTCCTCATCATAGTCAGAGTCTTCTCTTTCTGATCTCAGCCCATCTTGTGAAACATCACTATTTGCATCTGAGCGGTAAAGAAAGTCACTTAATGATAATACTCCACCTAAAGGTGCTGATCTTAGAGCTCCATCATTGCCTTTATTTGATTTTTCCAATTCAGCTGGTTACAATATCAAATAAAATAAATCAAAAGCCAAAATGAGCATGAAAATAGCAAGATCCAAAAACGTTCACACAGGCTGACAACACCACTAAATACCCTTTCATCTACGCATAAAAACAACTACAGAAGGATCACCTTGGGTATTTTCAAATTATAATAAAATTAAAACATAGGTTGATAGTCATAGACTCATAGTGCTTTTTTTAAGCATGCATACAAGATGCATTGTAATTACATAAAATATGATCAAGGGGTTATTATTCATCAATTATTTCCATTCAACACTGTGACAGTAATACATTTATTTGGATCCCACAATCCTCCACTGGGAAAAATTTTGATGTGCAATTACACAGCTGTCCCAGACCTCCACTCCAAGATAAATATGAAACAAATAACATTGCAAGTTTTAAATTATCATTTACCTGCAGCGAGGTCTCTCTTTACACTTTCCACCTTCTCTGCCACTTCAGGATTAGATGGGGCTAAACACTGAGCAGCAAAGGCAAAATCTAGGGCTTCCTTATGTCTACCCAGCTGCAAGAGAAGAAAGAGAAATAAGAAAACAAGGATTGAATCCTTCACTACAATTGATAACAATTTACAGAAGTTGGATAGGAGAATCCAACTTCTTCAGGAGTTATCTTCATTAAAGGGAAAAAAATATTAATTAAAAAAATAAAAACTTCAGACATGTAGTAAAAGCACAGAATGATTATAACTTGCGCAAGCAGAAACACAGAATGACAGAAGAATTACCTGTGATAAAGCTTCAGACATGTAGTAGTGTGCTCTGACAGAGGAATGATCAATTTTCCTAGCACTGTAGCAATCTCTTATTGCCATATGAACATCGTTCTTCCATTTCCGCTGCAAAAGATTTTAACCTTTTTTAATCAGAAACCAGAGAAAATACTAATATGCAAAAATATATAAAAGAAGAGTAATAAGGAAAAGAATCCCTCCACTTAAACTTGAATGCATATACAGTATAAAAAAGAGCAGGAAAATAGTACATCAGCATGGATGTTCCCGACTAAGGAAATTAACGTGATGAAACAACTTCAAAGTAGCAACTCAAACGTAGGTTGCAATTATTCTATCCCAACCCACAGCGCAACAACTAATGGTCCTTTTTAAACTTATAACAACTTATTTTGATCAAGAGATGGTGAATAATTGCAAGTGAGTAAAAGATTTCCAAAAAAATCCTCCGAAGATTAAAGATATTTTGAAATTCCTTCAGGAAGAAAGGCATCGACTCCTTGAGGAATATATTCCAGCAACAAAAGAGCATCTTTCTTTCACTAGCCACAATGTATGAATTTCTCAAGGAATCTTCAGACATGTGTGTGTGTGTGTTTTAGTAGTACTAAATATCAAAAAATTGGGAGACAAAAGATTGGCGGGAACTCATAAATCTGAAATGGAATTTTAACTTCAAGCAATAAAATTAACATATCAAAAAAGAACCTTGAGTAATAAAGCAGCACGGGTGCATAATGAATCGTGCTTAAAAATAACCCCAATATTACGACCATGTCCATCCAAAATTTCATTGCACGCCTCAATTCCACCAAAGTAGTTCCCACCCTCCAAGCATTTTTCAGCAATTTGTAATAATTTTCTGCACTTATCAAGCTGAAAAATACTTGTCAGAATATAACTTTGAACCATTCAAGTAAAAACATTGTTTCGATTCAGCCCATGGTTTGGGAATCCCACCTTTGAAGAATTAACGCCACAATTTACAGGCAGACCATTTGAGAAATTGGATATAGGATACTGCAACTCCAACCCGTTGAGTATAGGAGTGAAGCTCATTAACTTAGAAACATCTCCTGATGTATACTGCATCGTATTTTGACCAGCTGTGGGAAAATAAATATATATTTTATTCAGAAAAACTAAATCAAAACACATTAAATCTGAAAAAAATTGTTTCACAAATATAATAATTGGATTAACAAATAAAGAAAAGACCGATTGCAAACTCAAACAGAAAATTCACAATATGGTGCTTTCTTATGAAGTCATCAAATCTTGGTTCTAAAACATCCATCATACCTGCAAAGTGCATAAGCAAAGCAAAAATAACATGATACAGTAACTTTAAGACAAAAATCCATCAATTCCCATAATTTAACACTCCGACCCTCCCAAGGTCAAATACTGATCTTATTTAAACGGTTACAAATAGGGTAATTGCACTACTTCTCTTGTCTGGCCCTAGTAACCATTAGGCTGTTAATTGACTACAGTGAAGAGTATACCGTGGGGGGAGGACAGCATATGGTATGTGGAAATGCAATTAGGTTATAGATTAATTTATTATCTAAGATCCATACAGTATTTATAAATTATCTAATTGTATAAAGTTAATTTATATGTTCTAATAAAACATTATCTAATAAAAAAATTAATAAGTTAATTCCTACTAAATGTAATTTTAATTATTTCCAAGTAAAAATGAATAATTAAAATTCAAGAAGATATGTTAAGTGATTAATTTTTACATTAATTATGTTATATGGGTTTAAGATGTCAATGTCCAATAATAACATGGGGTTTAGCATGCCCATTCTCCTCTAGTCATCACTGCATAACAAATGCCCCTTTATTAGCTAGCTTGTCAAAGCCACTAGAATCATAAATGTAGGTAAGATATACCTCAATATATCAACTTTAGCTACCATTATATGGGATGATATTGAACTGTAAAATAAATCTGGTAAAAGAAGTTATCGAGAACAGTAAAACAATATATCAAAAAATAGGGACTATGAAGTGCATAAGAAGCTTAAAATTTTAAGATGAATTAAGATACCATGATTTACATTCATCAAATATACATGTTCTCCACTGTAGCTAAGCAGGATCTCTTCTCCATTCGGACTAAAAGTAACATGAGTCAGATGTAAACTCGAGCGAACCTTAAAAAAAAAACAGAATATGAGTTCAGAAGGTTGATTTTGCCCATGAAGAACATGAGATGTGCATCAAGATCATGAGTTATTCACAATATGGGACATTGCCATTCATATTGACAAAAATAACTGTCTTTATATCACGGTTTTTACACACTAAGATTGACTTTCTAGAGCATTCACACCAACATGCTCGATAATGTTTTTCCAATCAAGCAATAATAATATGCTGTTGCCAGATTGACATTGACAATGATAGATTAAATGCAGTTTTAAACTCACCCGATCAGAGAGATGCATTGGACAGAAGTAGTTAACACAAGGAGGTGGCGACATCCTTTTCTGGCTGGAAGACAAGGGTGGCAGCATCCTTCTATCGTATAACCGTGCAAATGCGTCACTGCATTACAAAAAATTCAAAAGAAATTGAAACAGGAACAGGTTGGCCCATATGCTTTTGCTTTTTTTTTTTTGTGTGTTAAACGATTCCTCTAGGCAAATTGTCAGAAATAGCAGAGTACCTTCCACCAACCAGTAGTAAATGTGGTCTGGTGGAACTAATGTCACAAGATTTTAGAGCAAGAGTTTGTCTTGGAGGATCAGCCAGTGACCTCTTTGCTCCACACCGCAAATCAAGCTGCCAATGAGCTTAATGAGAAAACAATGAACAACATAACTGATACCAATAAAAAAATATGTTGTGATCAACTATCATCGTTGCCAAGACATACAAAATTTTAAATAATGTTGAATAAGCTTCTTTAATGTTCATTGTTAACAATCATGTAAGCAGAATAAAACTTCTGCTGGCATAGAATTAACCCTTGCAACACATAGTATGCTGAATCAAGCACCACAATTAACCCCTCCCCCGCTACCACCAAAAGAAAAAAAAAAGTAACGGTATTGTTGCAACGTCCACTTGAACACTGACACAAAGGGCAAGGAATTTTAGGATAATAGCCAAACTGACATGCCACTTGAAGTTGATAAAAATATATATGTTTCATAGGGGAAAAATGATGATCAGTACATAAGTTGTCCAACATTAGCTGTTTCCCATTAAATAACCATCGGGAAACTCAAAATAGCAAGGAAATGAAACAACAATTGTAGATAAAACTGATTAGTCAATACACAGAAAACTGATTCTAATCACTTGTTTCATTGAATGGAAGGATACAGAAAATCATAGAGAAAATAAAACTTACAAGAACATTGTGACATTCTTGGTGAGGAGATCCATCAGGAGGGCAAGACATGCCCTCCCGAAAGTCGTGTTGTCTAAGAGTTCCATCCTCACTAGCACTCCATACTACATTTGGGTTTCCTATTTCGACCTTAAATAAATAGCAGACAAATATTATAAAAATAATAACAGGCTTTTTTAACCAACATCGACTACAATACAACCTGAACATTCATGAAAAATAAATTGTTTCATTACTTCTAGTAGAAGAAATTATCCATATATATTTGCCACTGGGTTCTTGGTTCTTACAGCTAATTTTTTTACTCTTCTGGTGTGACACTGATACAAAGCCGATGAAGCTATGGCATTATCATCGTGACCACTTAAGCGAGATAAATTAAACAATCGCACCTGTTAAGAAACAAGCCCCCCAAAAAAATCAAATCATAAGCAAAGTTCAACTACAAGCATCAACATCCATGAGAAAATGTATAGCACTCTATAGCATATTACCTCTGAATCCCCAGCTCCTGAAACCACAAGCTCATCAGAAGTTTCAGGAACAAATTTTGTACAGAATATGTTTGCAGAGTGCCCAGTATCCACAGAGTGCAATAGCTTTCGACCAGAATAGCTCCAGATGTTGATCTGCAAAATACATAGTTAACCAAAAACTTCCAGAAAACATAATTTTTCTTCAAACAGAGAATGTAGCAATACAAGGCATTGTGCAATATAAACATACATAACAGGTAAGGTAGAAGCATGCTAAACCTTCATTACCAATTTATCATTTCTACTTTAACTTCATCCAATTCCAACAAAAATGAGATGAGATATCCAGTGCCTATCTCTTTGATGATATTTTCATTATCAAGTCCTAAAACTCTATTCTTCCATCATGATGGTCTATTCTGTGAAAGTTGCCATAGAATGTCTCCGATAACTCAAATTTGAACTTTGAAGAGTTTTTAAATTAATCATATTTAGAAATTTTGTAGAAAAAACGTTTATTTTTTCGATATCCAGCTGTTAGAAAACATATCACCACACTCTCAACTCAAATTTTAGGTATTTGAAGATTTATCCAACATGAAGCATATTGACTAACTTGGGATTCATATTTTAGGCATTTTCTAACTCAATCTCCATGCACCACCACCTGCAATGGCTGCCAGATGCCATATGAGCAAAGTCATCGACAAAGGGCACCTTCCTCCATAAAAATAGAGTCAGATTCATACTGGCATACATAAGATTCTTCTTTACAAATTACGATGAGGATCATTATCTTAAACTGGTTTAATCCAAAAATTGTTGCCACAGGAAACTCTCGATGTTCATCACGATCACCATTGTGTACAATACTCATACATTTTCATAGAGGGCCACAAATAATTCATGCAAAGTGCAGGTTTATTGATCCGATCATCAAGAGTAATTACCTAGTACCCACTGGCCACTCCACGTAGTCTAACGGAAAAAAAATAATAATAAAAAATAATAATAAAAAATAATAATAATCCATAATCAAAACCTTGAGTCATCCACATGTTACTGTAGATCTAGATAATTAAGTCACTGAAATAGAAGGGAGACTGGCTGACCCGTGTATCATCTGATCCAGATATCAAAAGTGAACCACTAGAATTCCAGGCCACTGCATTAACACACCCCTGGTGTCCCTGGAGAGAGAGTGAGAGAGGGGGGATATTCTATTAACAGACAAAGAATTAAAAATTGACAGGATAGAAAAAGCAAAGAAGGATGGAACTGTAAGGTAAGGGAGGAAACAATATTTTCACATAAAGTAAAGCATAAATTTTTACCATAAAGCATGCAACACCAAAGGATTTCAACAAAGAATGTGTTTAAGAACAATGTTAAAAAAACAAAAAATCACAACGCAAAGAAACTAAGATCCATGCCAACCTCCAGTTCCTTTTCCTGGGAGAGTCTTTGGATGAATGACGAGTGCATCTGCAAATTACATGTGGAGTCCTGCATACATAAATGACTTGAAAAATGAAACAAATTCATAAGAAAAAATAAAAAGCTTTATAGAAGCAGATTCCATAAAGCAGACCTTATGTTTCAATGTAAGTAAAACATATAACAATTTTCCCTTCCTTCAGGAACCAACGGTGCCTCGTAAACATTGGAAAAATAGCATAAACCATGTAAAATGAACCACCAAGAAAGAAAAGCCGGACAGGAACTCTAAAGTAAGAAAATAACTACTGATCATCTTTTCCTTTGGAGCTTAGACCTCCTCACTACCATTGTATAAATGTAGTCTGGTTTTCATACAGATAGTTCCTTATATATTTATTGATGAATGAAGATTATATTAATCTTCAAAACTATTCTGATCATCTTTTCCTTTGGGGCTTAGACCTCCTCACTACCATTGTATAAATGTAATCTGGTTTTCATACAGATAGTTCCTTATATATTTATTGATGAATGAAGATTATATTAATCTTCAAAACTATTCTGATCATCTTTTCCTTTGGAGCTTAGACCTCCTCACTACCTTTGTATAAATGTAGTCTGGTTTTCATACAGATAGTTCCTTATATATTTATTGATGAATGAAGATTACATTAATCTTCAAAACTATTCTTTCCGCTGTGTTCAGTAGAAAAGAAAATGAGAGTGAGAACATAAAAAGAGAGTTCAATCCAGAAATTCATGCAAAAGATACAAACTGCAACATATCTCATGCCAAAGGATCTAAGTTTTTTCAATTTTTCTTTATATACAGACGCGTTCTTTGTCACCGTTTCGTAATTAAAACAGAAAAATGCTGCGTCTTATACAAACTTCAAAAAGAATATCTCTAGGCAGCGATCAAGAGATGCGACTAATGTCAAGAGTCAGAATGGAAACAAATAATAATTACAATTAAAAGACTTGCTACTATTATCTTGCTAAAAGGATCGAAGAAGTAAAAAGGACACACTCGAGTGAGAGTCGCTTCAAAAAAATTTCATATAATTTCAAATCGACCGAACCAAAATTGCATTGCTTATCGTCCACGAACAGCTTTCAAACAATCCAAAATCTTCATACTTCATCTCGCACCAATATATTTCTCACTTCGCCTCCAAGAAAGAAATTCAACTAAATCCAATAAGGCGAATGATATATCTTCAATCACAAGACCCTACACAATCTCCTCCTCACCAAAGAACGCTCCAGAATAAAAATCGCGTACAATTCACATCCAATCCATGGAAACAATTCAAGAACTCGACACACTAAGTTGAACGAATGCAAACCCGATGAGAAGGCAGGAGAAAACGAAGAAGAAGAAAAACAAAGTAATAATCACACATACTTGACGAAAGTTGATGTGCCTGCTGTCGAGCAAACCGCAGACGTTACCATCGTGAAAGGCGAACTCCTCCATTAGATGAAAGAGAACTCAGAGAAACCCTAGCGCGGATCAAACTCCGACCGATAATCTGCTGTTGCAGCAGTGAAGGTTCCGATCATTCTAAAAATTTCTCGCTCCGAGCTCAGAACCGTCCTTGAGGTCTGTCCAAATAAATATATAGAGAGAGCTCTACGGGCGAATTAGATTAAGGTCGTGTGACAGATAACTAAAAAATTTTCGGGTTTTTCTTTTCTTTTCTTTTTTTTTACCGAAAATAGAAAGCCTTTAATATTTAATTTATGTCATCGCTCTTTCTACTCAAGATCGGGCTTCGAAATTAACAGGGAATTAAATGGAAGAGCGGTATTGGATAGCTTTAGCGAGTTTGATTGGCGGTTTTGGGCCTATGGATCTAGGCCTATTTTGTCTTCTTTGGATCGGCGAAAAGGCCCATATGATATGATATTATATGGACCTTATGTGGAACGGCTTAAAGGCCCAGGTGATTGTAATAAGTTATTTTATCTCATCGTTATTTGCCACAAGTTTGAAGCCTGATCTTTATTTGAACTAAAAATAATAATAATAAAATAAACTCTTTGTTCTTTATTTAGGAGTATAGTTGATTGATAATTGATATGTAATTTCAATCAAGAGACTGGAAGAACAAAAGTCGTATGGATTCACAAAAACTACGTGGATGGATAGGAACTAAAAAAGAGAGATTGAAGTAGTTCTGACGATTCAATAATATTATTACTTCAATTCGGAGTTTTTAGTTGGATAAATCTTAGCAATGGAATAATAAGTTATAATTCATTGGTTGATTGTATCATTAACCATTTCTTTCTTTTGGTGTGAGGAACTTATCATGAATCCACTGATTTCTGCCGCTTCCAGTTCAAATCTCCTGTGTAATATGTTGTAAAAAAAAGAAAAAAAATCAAACTTTAAATAATTAGTTGAGCTATATAAATCTACCATTTAATTTATCATTGTTTTCAAATTAGAGTTGATAATAAATAATTTATATTAGATTAATGAAAGAACGGAGTTGACAATAGTTTGATGACAGCTTATATTAAGCTAAATTAACTAGTCAATTAAGATAAATTAATCAGCCAATTACTTCTAAAGTTTTTTTTTTCTCTGTTTGAGCAACAAGTAGGTTAGAGAGAATTCAACTTATTACTTCGCATGTCAGTTACTGCTAAACTATATCAACAACTCGAGAGAATTCTTCTTTTCATGATAACTATCTTTCTAATGGGTTTAGTGAAATTAAGTTACTTTTTAATACACCAAAACAAACATAGTTCTGGTAATTAACACATAAGTTCGATATCTCATCCCACATGTTGTACTAAAAAAAATTACTTCCTAATACTCCTAGTATAATATTTTTAAATAAGGAATGTTAGTTATTTATATATTTTAGATTGGTTCCATAGCCCATTTTGTTAATATTAGATAAGAAATTTACTAATAATTTTTTTAATTAAAAAAAGAAACAAAAACACATGCATAATAACCAGAAATTTTTCAAAATAAATATTAAAAATTTCAATGGAATAATTATTCTTTTAATATAATACACATATTAGAAAAATAATAATAATAAAATAAAACTGTTATCCATGTTTAAAAAGAAAACTAGAAACACAAACAAGGAACCAGAAATTCCTGTCTCTTAAAAATAAAAAAAGAGAACTACCAAACACTTGTGTTTCTTAAGATTAAAAACGTTATCAAACTCGCACTAAATAATAAGTGACCAGTCGTCATTCCAAATGGCATTCTAAATGAATTAAGATTTAAGAAACATACTTTCACCGGCGGATAATATTTTGGTCAAATGCTGCTACCAATTTTTCAAATTTCTTCAGACATTATATATAAAAATCAAGATCCCTATTTTTTTTTATTTTTTTTTTTCAAACTCACACTAACAAAAGCAAGGATAATGACATTCGAAGCCCACCTCCTCCAAAAGAAGAATAAAACAGATCCTTCATCAACTTCATGACGGCCTCTTATGGCTCATCTAACTGGTCCTGCATCATCCAGCCACCACAAAAATGTCAGTTTTTTTTCTTTTCAATTGATAAATAACGCATTCGAACCGCAAGGGTAAGTTCAACTTCAGGCTGATTATTTGAAGGTTCAAATACCAATTAAAAACACTTTTAAAGGTGGCCTTAAAAGTGCTTTTTTAAAAGCATAATTTCAAAACGTATGACTCAAAAACAATCACTACTATAAAAGTCATCTCAAAACTCAAAGGAATTAAAGAAAGAGACTAATTACATAACTGATTAGCACACGAGAGAACCAGTAGAAAAGATCAAATATAAGGCCCTATATATGAACGATTTCGTTTTTTGTTTTTAAGAATTATGCTGGCCGCCTCACAATCTCAATGGTATAGCCAAATTTTAAAAATAAAAACAACCTTTAATAAGTTTTCAAATTCTGGTTTTGAATTTGGAAACTCAGATAGGAGTAATGATTATTAGTTTAATTTCAAAAAACAGAAAACCAAAAATGAAATAGTTATGGAACGGGTTTAAGGCTTATATTATGACAAGATCATAAACCAATAAGCAGTTTAGATAGAAAGGAGAAAGGATGTTGGGGGGACAGACCTGCATATCAGAAGTCCAAAGAGTGAGATTGTCCCTTAACAGTTGCATGATAAGAGTGCTATCCTTGTATGATTCTTCACCTAATGTGTCCAATTCCGCAATGGCTTCTTCAAATGCCTTGTGTTGATTCAAAACAAAAGAAGGTCAAATTGTGATTAGTAATAATTGCAAATGTTATTTAGAAACAGAGATTAAATTTACACCAAAAACGCAACACCTTTTTCACCAGCAGTAATAACAAAGTAGGAGATAGACTGACTTCCAATTGCCAACCAAAGGTTATTAACAGATTTAATACCTTTCTAATTTCATGCTTAAGTACTAAAAGATGGAACTGTATCAATACATATATTATATATATAAAACATCCATAACAAGAGAATATCTCCTCCAAGTATCTCATCCACTTCTTTTGTCATCAACAAGTTGTATGATTGAGACGTAAACGAAAAATATATTTGTCTGAGTACCATGGTGAAACATCTCCAATCAGGCAAAAGTTTAGATGGATCAATGATTAGTCACTATTCACAAACACAAGCCATATATTGTTGACAGCTCATTTCGGTAAATAAAGAAATAAAGACGGAATCATACAGAAACTCATCTGATTAAGTTAGGTGGAGAAATTCAGCATTTTAATAGAATAGGCAAGACAGACTAAGAAGACCAGATACTTGGGTGATACGACCTGATCAATTCTTTGTCTTACTTAAAGCTTATCAAATACAAATAATAGCAAAAAACATATATACGTAATAACGGATTCTCTAGATATAACGGCTCAAACAGTTGACCGGAGTTGAGAAAAAACCACATTAAAAGTGAGGATCATACGGCATGCAAGTTGAGACATAAGCCAACATTTCCAGTAGTATTTTTCTTTTCATTCTTTTGAGATAAGAAACTAATTTGATTTAAAGAATGAAATCTCGTGGCAAAACCGCAAGCCAAAGAAATTACAAAAACTCACTCCACCTAGTGTGGTGTAAATCGAGGAATGTCATAACCGAAATCAAAGAATTCTCAAAGAAGATCAGCTATCATTCAACTGTTTTTTTAATGATATTGTTCACTTCATTTTACTTGGTGTAAATGCTTTCCACTTTTCCTCTAATAGAGCTATTATTCTTTTTTCTTTTTAGTACAACATGTGGGGTAGGGAATCGAACTCACAACCTCTTGGTTGGAGATATATGTCAATTACCGTTAAGCTATTATTCTCTTTTATCCACTTGGAGAATTTTTTTTTTTTTTTTATAACTCCTTTGAATTGGGGTTGTAACCTCATTTTGAATTTCATGTTATCAATGAAATTTTTTCTTATCAAAATATAAAAACTAGAACCACCCTTATATAAAGGCAATTTGTAAAGAACAGCGGCCCCTCTCTCTCTTCTCAAGAGAAGTGTATACCATCTCGTTCTACCCACACTTCACACACACACAAAAACCCTCTAACAGTGCTTAAAAAGTCATAATCGTATCAAAAATATATATATTTAGAAATTCATATTACAAGACATGCAAAACTACAGAAATTCAAAATCATATTTCAATGAAAAGATCATATTTTGAGCAGACGAGCATTGTGATCAGATCACGTACTTAAAGGGACAAAGAAACCAATTTAATAAAATTTAAAATAATGGCAATACAGATAGCTATCGGCAGACAACAGATTGTACACTTTATACAGCTGAAMAGAGGATGTTGTTGAATAAAAAATGGCAAATCGAATATGTTAAGCTCAACCAATTGTTGAAGTGTTACTTGGAAGCAATAAAAATAAATAAATAATTAGCTAGAGAATCAGAGAAATCAGTCACATGTTAGTAGAGAATGAAATTTTACCTGCTTGGCCATGCTACATGCTTTATCAGACTGATTCAGAATCTCAAAGTAAAAAACAGAGAAATTTAGTGCTAGGCCCAGCCTTATTGGGTGCGTCGGTGCAAGATCGGAAACTGCAATATCCTATATAACATAAAAGTTATAAGAGGGGTACGAACAACGAACACCCAAGGCTTTAATAGTAAGCAAAAAGTTTATTGTCTTTCCCAGTTAAGTTCATTCATCATCTCATTTTAACTACAAGTGTTTCATATTTTTCCATCTATTTCATTCAATGGGTATTCTGATAATTTGATTACAAGTAAACCTTTTAGTTTCATCACCTCTACAACAAGTACATGAACTCGAGCGGAAGATGAGACATTAGACGGCCACTCTTATATACTATTGAATGGGTGGGTGGAGTTTATAAATGTTTTACAATAATATCATGCTTGTCTATGATTCATCATAGAATCCTGAGTCATCAAGCCACGTAATAGCCACATTTGAAGTGCCGAATTAAATATCTTATCTTATCAATAAAATAGAGGGTGCGTAATGCTTCCGCTGTTAATCAGTAAAAACCCTAAAATTACAAATTCGCTTATTTAAAACGAACGAAGCTCGACAAATCAAAAGAACATGACAAGATTCAAGTACCTGAGCAGCCTTATAAGCCAGCATGGTATCCTCGGCGGCGGACTTCCTCTCCTCCCCGATCTTAAACTCCGCCAAATACCTATGATAATCACCCTTCATCTTTAAGTAGAACACTTTGGATTCACCAGATGATGCTGATGGAATCATATTGGAGTCCAACAGCTTCAAGATACTAGCGCAGACCTCGGTGAGCTCGGATTCGACCTTGGATCTATAATCCTTGACGAGGACGACGTGATCTTCGTTCTTCCTCCCTTCTTCCTTCTGTTCGATTGAGGACACGATACGCCAGGCCGCTCGGAGAGAACCGATCACGTTCTTGTATGCGACGGAAAGGAGATTGCGCTCCTCGACAGTGAGCTCCGAGGCTGGAGTGGAGCTCAATACAAGCTTCTGCATGAACTGAACCATTTCCTCGTAGCGCTCGGCTTGCTCGGAGAGCTTCGCAAGGTAGACATATTGCTCCCTAGTTAGGTTTTCAGGGATGGCGGACGCCATTAGAGACTCAGCGCGAGAGGTCGAAGGAAGAGAGATGGACTGCGCTGTGTGACTCGTTTTTTGTATACTGTTGGGTGTTTGGTGGTTTTAAAGCTAGAAAAATAAAATAAATATATATAATTTTTTTTAAAAAAAAAAAAGGAAAAACTAAATAACATAAATAATATTCCTGACATTACACATCTATGGGCGTCTGTGTGCTGTATTTTTTTATTGTTCTTTATTCTTTTTTCTCTAAAAAGAAAAATAAAAGTTTGTTTATTAATTATTTATTACTACTTTCTTTTCGGATTCAAATTTTAACTTGGGAAGACGTATGTTAATTAATATAATATTCAAATTTATTATGTCATTTTGACGTTTTATACATGATGGGTTTCGGGTCGGACTTCATTTTATAATTGAACCCATGAACCAACCCGAAATACAAAAGGACAAGACCCCCCCAGCCGCCATTACCTTCGTCCTTTGTTTTTCGCRTACGCCGCCGTCGCCTCCGCCGTCGCTCGCCTATGCCGCGGCGACGCTCTCCATTTGGGGTTTGGGGTTTCGTCGTTCTGTGTCGCACAGCAAAAGCCTAAAAGGCATTTGGGGTTTCGCCATTCTGTGGCGTTGGAATGAAACCAAATCTCTTAATGTGAGTTTGTGAAGAGCATCCGATGGAGTATGCGATTTTCTGTTCTTCCTTTTTGGCTTGTTTATCTATCTTTTTCTTTTCTTCTCTTAGTTTGTTCTGTGGAGATGGATTTGTATTTTCTGATCAATTCATGAGATGGGTGTTGAGAATACAGATGGGTCCTCTGATTTCAGTAGTTTAAATTTGTGGGTTTCTTTTTTTGGGAAGAATTAATGAATATGAAGTTGGTTATTGAAAATCCAGATGGGTTCTGTGTTATCAGTAGGTTATTGAGTGATTTCAGCAATTTCTTTTTGGGGATAATCAAAGGCTTGGTATTCAGCAAGAAGAACGAATATTTATATTTTATATTTCGCTGCATTGTTAGTTGTTCGGGCCCTATCATATTGCTATGAGTTCATGATAGATGTGATCAAACATGTAGGATTTGCAAGCTTATGGATTGATATGTATCAATATTGCTTGATCTAATTGTTGAGAGAGATTTCCACTTCTTGCTAACCTATTTTTTGCTGTCCTTTAGATGATATCGTCATTTAAACGTGCCAGAAGTTTTTCATGAATCTTGTGAGGCAAAGCTCGTTGTTCTCCTCTCTTTTGTCTACATCAACACCTTCGATTCCGTGGATTTCTATTTTTTCGATAATTCCCGGGAGATCGGATGATCATACCAGACTCTTTACCACCACCTCCATAGAAGCTCAGAAAAAATCCAAATCCAGCTACATTTCTCACGAGACTGCCATCAGGTTGATCAAACATGAAAGGGATCCTCAGCATGCCCTCGAAATTTTCAACATGGCATCGGAGCAAAAAGGTTTCAATCACAATAACGCGACTTATGCGACTATTCTTCAAAAGCTTGCACAGTCCAAGAAGTTCCAGGCTGTTGATGCAGTTTTGCATCAAATGACATATGACACCTGCAAACTACACGAGGGTATATTCCTTAATCTCATGAAGCATTTTTCAAAGTGTTCTTTACATGAAAGAGTGCTTGACATGTTTTACGCAATCGAATCAATTGTTCGTGAGAAACCTTCTCTTAAAGCCATCAGCACGTGTCTCAATCTTCTAGTTGAATCCGATCGGGTTGATCTGGCCAGGAAGTTGCTCGTTCATGCCAGGAGTAAACTCAACTTTAAACCAAATACATGCATTTTCAACATCTTAGTTAAACACCATTGCAGAAATGGAGATCTTCAAGCTGCTTTTGAAGTTGTGAAGGAAATGAAAAGTGCTACTAAAGTCTCTTATCCTAATCTAATCACCTACTCAACTCTGATCGGCGGCCTCTGCAAAAATGGAAAACTTAAAGAAGCCATTGAACTTTTTGAGGAGATGGTTTCAAAGGACAAGATTTTGCCTGATGCCTTAACTTACAATATTCTGATCAATGGTTTTTGTCAAGGAGGGAAAGTTGACCGTGCAAGGACAATAATAGAGTTCATGAAAAGCAATGGATGCAGTCCTAATTTATTCAATTACTCAGTCTTAATGAACGGCTTCTGTAAGGAGGGAAGACTGCAAGAGGCCAAGGAAGTTTTCGACGAAATGAAGCGGCTCGGGATGAGGCCCGACACAGTCAGCTACACTACTCTAATCAACTGCCTCTGTAGAACCGGAAGGGTTGACGAGGCAACAGAGTTACTCCAGCAGATGAAGGAAAAAGATTGCCGAGCCGATACCGTAACATTGAACGTGATGCTCGGAGGGCTATGCCGAGAAGGTAGGCTCGAGGAGGCTCTCGATATGGTGCAGAAACTCCCTTATGAGGGGTTCTATCTGAACAAAGCTAGCTACAGGATTGTGTTGAATTTCCTGACTGAAAAAGGAGAATTGAAGAGGGCCAGTGAGTTGTTGGGTCTGATGTTGAATAGGGGGTTTGTTCCTCACTATGCAACTTCAAATAATTTGCTGGTTCTTCTTTRCAATGGTGGGATGGTGAATGATGCAGTAGAATCTTTGTTTGGGTTGTTAAAAATGGGGTTCAGACCTGAGCCTGAGTCTTGGTTTAATTTGGTGGATTTGATCTGCAGGGGGAGAAAACTTTTGCCTGCGTTTGAATTGCTTGATGAGTTGGTTACTGGGGAGCGTTTCATTGTAACTTAAACATTTATTGTTCTTTACAAGAAGTGTAGATAGCTCTTTAATCTTAGCATTGTGAATTTTCTTTCACTAATTTGTATTATTTGTAAGTTGAAACTTTGAAGTTAAAGATTATCGATTAATTTAAAGTTTCCTCTGAGGTTCAAAATCAAGTGTGCCTGCAGTTCAGGCACCTTTAAAGTTGAGTGTTTGATCCATYGACTCCACATGTATTGAACTAACAAAGAAAAAGGCAAAAAAATCCTAGTGCGTTTAGTTTGATTATTGAATTAATTTTAAAAATATATTTATTCAAAATTTTCATAGTTTTTTCTCCTTCGATTCCTATTCCCACCACATTTTGCCACTGCATGAGCTATCTTGTTTGATGATCTCTTGTTTTAAGATATTTATAGATGAAGCGCTTGGTATGTCTTCAACGAGTTTTGAAGAAAATATTCTCACTTTTGAAAAAGACCTACGAGTCGTGAGCTTATAAGCAATGACCATATTTGGAGAATAAGCACGACCAACTCTAAAGATATGAGCACTATACAAAATGATTGGGAATAGAGTTTATGTAGGTGGAAACTACCCAGCTAGAGTACAATAGACACTTAAAAATACACCTTTCAGAAGTGACCCTCCTCCATTTTGTCAATAAATAAAATTAAAAATATATCTGGTCAGACTACTCGTCTCTGAAAAGCTACACTTGTTGCACATATGATACAAATAAAACAAAAATACAAAGAAATGTCATATGTACATAGTCATAGTTCAGTGAGAAAGATGGGAAAAGTGTCTCAAAACTAAAAAAAGATCGCTTGAAACTATGACAGATGGGCCAAAAAAGATCCTTAAAATGTTGTGGGAATGTTMAATTTTACCAAATTGAATGCTTCATACCGAGGCCATTACAAGTCAAAATAAGGCCTTTGTATCGCTTGAGATAATCCTGCAGAAAGAAAAAATTAATTCAAGAACAGAAAGATTACACATATGGGAAGAGGGATGATGGAAATTTCATACCACTATGTTAAAATCATTTACATAAAGCATCCCTTTCTCGTCGTATTCCTGCCTTCGGGAAGGATCGCTCAAAACTGCAGAAGGAGATCAAAATATAAGTTTAAATTCCAAATGCTGCTAAACAATATCTATTTCATGCTAATCGTGCCTACTGGATAGTTGTAACTTAAATTCCTTAGTATCTTCAGAATTGGACTTAAGATGGGCAAAGCATCTTGGAGATTAGTGAGAGCCTGAGAGGTGGGTTGTGAGTATATGATTCAAGGAGTGGGTCCAGACACTTCGATTATAAACTTTTTCTTAAGAAAAAACAACTATAGTCCCCCTATCACAAAGGAGAGGCTAAACTGCACAAATTTAACTGAATATTCGACAAAATATATAAAAGGTCCTAATAATTTAGAGCAGGGAAGAATCCTTTGTAAGCAGAATCGACAACGAAGAGTTCAACATACAAAAGGTCATAACCGTATGAAGTAGAGAACTCTTATCATAGGAGACAAAACAGTTTAAGAAGGAAAAATATGCATGTTGAATTCGAGTGTCAGTTTCTCACATGTGAAAGTCAATGCAATTACAATGGATTTTTCAAACATGCCAAATATGTCGTGTAAGTGAGCCAGCAGGGTACTCAAACCTTTGCATCTGTCTAAATTTCAGTACATTGGATCCATAGTTACACTAATTGATGCTGAAATTTTATCCTTGTGCACGTCAATATGGTCCGAATTCAATAAGAAAAATCTGGAGCGTATAAATAAATAAAATATAAACGAAAATGGCCAAAGGACAGCCTAGTGACCGGGGTAGAGAAATCTACACAATCAAAGCTTTCCCATCATTGAAAATCATGAGAATGCTATAGTTACGAAAGAATTTCTTGTGATTTGAGCACCACCAAGAAGTAGCGTGCTTAAAATAAGATAAATGCTAAGAGGATTAAGAAGTTCAGAAATCAAATATTTCCAAACAGTGCACTTAAAACATTCTCGGGTGGTACTGTGGTGCCATCTTGTGTAGCTAAGTACTACTACTGAACGATAAAATATGAAGAAGTGCAAAAAAAGCAGCTCATTTGAGCTGGAATTGCTTTTTAGCAGGCTTAAAGGTACCTCCTTTCTTCACTTTATCACATAATATAAAGCAAAGGACGGAGCACAGTAAATTAATGGATTCTCAATGGAAAGATTATATTAAAAAAATTGAAATATAAAAGTTAGACTCTCCCCATAAACTACTGATTGTTTTAAAATAAATAAAGATCTTCAACGATCTTCTCTGCCTTTAATGTTCCCTGTTGTCGTGTCTATAATTGATATCAAATAAAGAAATCACATATTCGATATCCACTTAATATAGGGCTTAATAAGAGTGTAAAGAATATAAATTCTCTCTAGTTCGGATATCTGCTGGCGAATGCAGCAAACTCGCAGTTGAGCTAGACGCAGCAGAATTTACAAATCAAGGCTATAATAATTGTGAATTAGGTTAACTTGAGCTGTAACTGACCTTGATATGCCTCGTTTATTTCCTGAAATCTGGAGGTGGCACTATCGTGGTCTTTCTTCTTGTCAGGATGCCATTTCTGCACACAATCCAACCAATAAACAAACCGAAAATCAAAAGAAACGAAGAGAAAATGTTTCCGAATAACAATTACAGAAAAATAACGAACCAAAGCCAGTCGTATGTAATTAGATCGAATGTCATCGTCTGTGGCTTCGTAATCGACCTCCAAAATTTTGTAGTAATCCTAGTAACAGGCGGCGGTAAGAAGATTGCGACAAATATACCTCGGCAGAGGATATGGAAGTGCAAGAAAACTGATAAAATTACCTTGGGTTTAACCATGGCGGAGAAGAAATCGAAATTAATGTGGGAATCTTCATGATCGGGCTCGGGTTGTCGATCGGAGTCGGTAGCATTGTCTTCCCACGCACCAGACATTGCGCTGGACTGTTTGGCATCCGGGAAAATTGAGAGAAACTGAGAGAAATTTGCGGTTTCTTGAGATGATTGTTGTTCATTGCGTAGCGGGTTTGAGAAGCCGGTGGTCCTGGTCTGTCTCTGCGCGTGGGTTCTCTTCTATCTTGTTGGGCCTGGGCCTCCTTTTCTAAATTAGACTTATTTGATTCCAATCAATATTTCTTAAATTACCATTAATTTATAGATTTATATTAGATTGAGTTTAAAAGATATATATATATATGTCCCTACCATTTTAAGGTTGTATATCGGTCTATTGTTACAAATTTTTACTGGTGGATTGTATCTCAGTTTTGTGTTTAATATATCTATACATTAATTTTGTCAATTAATATTTTTGTGGTATTTCTATTTTTTTTTAGTACATCTGTTACGTCCAACTAGAGAGGAAGGGAGAGAGAACATACAATACAATGGTTCAAAGTACTACTTACTTTGTTCCATCTCATTTCATTATCCTTATAGAATATGGAYCGGAGACGCATGTCTAATATACTTTATAATTACCCGTCACACCAAAATAAAAATAAACATGAATGAATCGATACCACATTCGAATGAGAGGGATCTTGAGATCATGGAATAATGAAAGAAATTATAGTCACTGCCTATACTAACAAGGTATATCTTCATTTTCAGCAACTTAATCGTAAGAACTCCAAAGTTGAGCGTGCTTGACTTGTAGCAATATTCAGTTGGGTGATCTCCTAATTCCTTTACTATAAAGCATGYTGGAATGACTTGTGAGGGATACAGGGAAATGGTGGGGCGATTGGTGCTGAATCCAAATTCTAAATCCGGGAAATTCGAACTCACGATCTTTTGGTCAGAGGAATGTCTATTATATTTAAGAATTACGTGGTATTTAAGAATTATATATCACATATGTATAAAAATAAAAAATAAAAAATCTTTAAAGTCGTTTCTAAAAGTCTTAAAAATTATACTAAATTTTAGATTTCGTAAAAATATATATTTCAATCAAATAATCATTTTTTTAATATTTAAGCATGCACTTATATATGATATTTTGGAATATTTATAGAATTAGTGTATTTTTTTATTATTTAGAAAATGATCATTTATAATTGTAAAAGTATTTTTAAGATTTATTATTAATAAATGTCAATAATTAGAATAAACCGTAAATGCAATAAATTATTACTTAATATATTCATATAAAAAATAATTAAAATTGAAAGAGTTGTCTTTCTATTTTAATTATATCAAAAGTGGATTTAAGAAAAAAAAATTATATTGGAAGTTACAAACAAATATGAACTAACTAAATAATTCATATGAATTTATCCAGGAGTATCATATTTTCTTATTGCTCATACACTCTACACATAAAATGTAAAAGTGATATTATAATGACAACAAAAATATTTTTGAAGAATGAAAAACGTTATCTCTTATTTTATTTATTATCTAGTCTGTAAATAGACTAATCTTAGATTGCTTGAAGGTGAGAGTTTGGGAGAATGTGCATTGTTGGTGGGAGACARCTATTCAACGTTGATTTTGGCTTCTAATTTTCCGAGTTTTAGATTGCATTGTTTGATGCCCTCCTCCTTCGCCACCCGCTTGTTTCCTCCCATTTGGATTCTACCTTTCTAAATAATAAATATTAGTGTTCATGTTAGTACCTAAATTATATTAGGTTCTATTTCTCATTTTAGGTGGTTTTGTTTTTGTTTTTCTCATTTGTGCTCGTTGTTTTTCTAATTAGTGTTTTTATTTATTTATCCTATACAAGGTTGTTTCTTTTGATGACCGTCATTGAATTTTTGATAAATAAGGTGAGAATTTGAACTTACAACTTGTTAGTTTGAAATACATGTATATACTTTAAAATTTTTATTTTTGACATTAATATTATACAATTATTTTACTTTATTTTAAAAATTTATATTATAGTCATATGCTAAGTCAAGATGGTATGTATTATTGTCGAGGGCTGCAATTATTGCATCAACTAGGCTATGTTAGGCATGAACAATTAATTGATTTTGGAAGCGCTTTTTAAGTCTTTAAGAAGAGAGAAAATTTTATTTAAAAAAAAAAGAGTGAGATCTCGACAAGAATTGTATTACCAATTCGAGGATAGATTAATAAGTTAATGTATATATTTCCAACTAAAAAGTTGTGGGTTGAAATCATTATCATACATGTACGTATTGCAGCTAAAAAAATGGTATTTTATCATCGAAAAGTTACCATTAATTTAGAAAGATTGAAATAACATAAAAATGCTAAAAAAAAATTTGTTGTAAAAAAACTACTTACTAATCAAGTATTCTGCATATAAATAAATTATTTTTACTTTTGAAAACAGTAATTATTTTAAAACCCGGCATTCAAACCTGTCATATATTTGTACTAAAAAAAATGCGTCATATATTTTAATTGAGGAATTTAAATTGTCAAATTTGAAAGTATCTTACACGTCATTTTGGGTATGATTATGAAAAGTACACCGCAGTTTTTTTTTTTTTTTAAATAAACTGATATTATAAGAAATAGAACAGTCTGAATTTAATTTGTAGGGAATATTAATAATCCGTCATTCATTTTTATTAGACAAATAATTGGTCATTATAATATGTAACACATGCCACATTTTCGGTATGATCTAGTCATTTCATGAAAGATGAGGAAATACTTACTTTTCTTTTCGTAATGACTATGAATATTAAAAAAGTGATATTTTAATTTAATAAAATAATATTAACTCTAATTCCGGTTGAATAAAGCACTTATTGTCTTTTTCCATAATTGTTCAAGAGACAAGTATTTTCCTTATTCTATACCTTCACAGCCACCTTGATCTCGTCTAGAAGTAATAGATTATATTTTTTTTACGTACAAGTCCATTCTGATATTTTCTTCATCTTTTTTCTTTAAATTTTATCAGATTGAAATTTAAAAGGTCAATAAACAATAAATTTAAGGCTAAATTACAAAAAAAAAAAACAAACAAATGACTTGCGATTTTTTCAAAAATATCATTTAGACAAAATTCGTTAGAGGAAAAAACTTCGCTCTTTGACGGTGAGGAGGCGAAAAATAAATTTAATAACTTTAATCCAATATTTCAAAACTTCTTCAAATTATATTCATTTGCAAAAGTGGCTATGAACAACAAATTGCAGAAAGCCTCTATCTAAAATTAGAAGATAGTAAGACATAACGAAATAATAGAAGAGAAATGTTATGCAATTTACGTAAATTTTCAACAATCATTTAAAACTATGAAAAATAAAAATTAGATTATATATATGTGTACCTTTAAATTGTAGATAAATATTAGTGGAGATTCATTTTTCATTCGATAAACTTGAGTTGCATCAAGAAAAAAATGAGGTTATAGTACTCTTCAAGTTGAGAAGAGAATGAAGATGGGAGAAAAAGAAGGGAGTGAGAAGTTGTACTGAGAGAGAAAAAGAAGGGAGAAAGAATTCAAAGAGATTTGAGGAGATTTCACCTAATGATATTTAATAAAATAATAAAAAAAACAACAATCAACACTTAGTCTTGTTTTTATAGGGTCATGTGAGGGTAAGGAGTACAATCATCCTCACCATTAAAGAGCGAAGTTTTTTTTCCATATTTTAAACTAAAAGTTGACATGTCAGAATTTTAAACAATGTGGCAATCAACATCTCAATGTCATCAAATTTTCTTTTTGCATTGTCAACAGAATTTGTTTTCTCATTTCTACCTAATTTTGTCATAACCTTACTTTAATACTAACTTTTTTTTTTTCATATTTATGCTATTTTCAAACTTAATTTAGGTAAACTTTCATGTTAATTGTCATGTCATTCTAACTCTTACTAAATCAATTTTTCGTTCAAAATATTCTCAAATGTTTACTTAAAAAATATTTTTGAGATACTTATGAAAGGTTAACGGTAGTATTTAAGTGAAACTTTTGAGAGGATAAAAGAATTTTTAAAACAAATGGGAACATTCAAGAACATATATATATAAACACTATCCAAAACTTTTTCTTCCATAACTTTCTAGCTTAAAGAAGAAAAATAGGTGATTCTAAATCTATTATCTCATCGGTCATGGTTCAATCCTTCACTCATCCAACTGTGTTTAACTTAAAAGAAAAAAATATAAACAAATTTTACTCGACAGTAATTGACATATAGACATGTATCTCTGATTAAGAGGTCATGAGATAGACCCTCCACCCTCAATTGGTATTGAATTATATAATAATAATTTAGAAATCGAGTAAAGGTAGTGATTAGATTAAATAATGAAGACTGTAAATACGGTAAAAATCATTCCAGTTCAGTCGATTGAAGATTGCTGGATCCAGAAATGTAATTAGGGTTAGGGAGCGGATCTCTGCTCTGCAAACTCCGTTTCTTTGTACAGTTTGGTCCCGTCCCGCCCTTGCATTCATAGCCCTTCTTCTCTTCATTTCATTTACCTGTCTTTTTCTTTTCACGCAAGTTTTGTTTTTCTTTTTTTTTTTTTAAAGTTTTTAACTAGTTTATACATATATAATTAACAACTATTTCTTGTTTAAGATATTAATAATTTAGTTCTAAAAACTTGAAAATTTTGGAATGTATGCTCGAATTCAAATTACAGATTATAAAATTGGCCACTGCCACCGGCACAGACAGTAGACCGTAGTGCAATGGAAAAGACAGGAAGTGGGGGCCTGGTGGGGCCCGCACTCCCATGTGAACCGGTTGCCAGTCGTCGTCCAGCGGCACGGCAACAATTTAATTTTTGTAAATCTGAAAGAAAGCAAAGCGTTGCGTCCCCACTTCAACGTTCGACAAAATTTTCTGTTTAAAAAATTTTAAAAAATGAAATAAAACGGAGTGGGGCTGTGGGGGACTGGCTTCCCATGCCACGTATGCTGTCCGTTACGTTTTCACGGCGCCCACATCAAGTACGTGCCCTTTAATTTCGGCCTAATTAATGAATTTAAAAAAAACACTCTTTTTTTTCCACATGAACGACGCCGTTTCGTGGAATATATATTATTTTCCAAGAAAAGACGGAATCTTAAAAAAAAAAAAAGAGAGAGAGGGAGAAAAAAGCTCGCGAAAGAGTACTACTTGAAAGTTGAAACGGCAGCCCCTTGGTTTGCAGTGGGTTTCAGAGCTAAAAAGCTTGTAGGCGAAGCAAACTTTTTTCTTGATTTTTTTTCTTCAAATCTCGTACTCCGAAGCGTTCTTTGTCGATCTTCTCTCCCTGTCATTCTGCGTGATTTACCAAGCGGCATTGCATTTTTGTCGAGTTTGTTTCGAGAAAGGAGCTCTGAGCTTTGATTCTGAAGCGAGTTCGTGGTCTGGATGATGATTCTAGCTTGAACTTTGGAGACGTTTGAGATTTGATTTTGCGGTAGGTCGGACTGAAAGGGAGGTAGTATGTTCACCGAAGGACTTGATAAAAGTGCCCTTCGATGGGTTCGCGAGGTATCATTTCTCTTCAATCCCTATTATTTTGCTCTTGATTTGTTATAGTGTGCAAATTTCTGCTACCATTTGATTACTTGTTTACACTGATGGGTTCGCACTTTTTTCTTTTAATTTGACAGAACGATGCTGGGGTTTGTACTTCAAATATGAGGTCTCGAGCCGATCCAATTACCGGCATCAGAGCTGGTACTGGAGGAAGGGGATTCGGACTGCCGCCGCCGTCGAAATTCAGGAGTGGGCACTTGCCGGCAAGTGCGATTCCGGTCTCGAGAACCATTGCTGTTGGTGTGGATGACAGTGCGTCTGCTTCAGAGAATGACATGAGCACTGACTCTGAGGAGGATGTCTATGGAACTAGATATTCGTTAGACTCGTCCCCCCAACGCAACAGAGTCCTGAATCGTTATGCTTATAGATATGGAAATCATTTGCAAGGGAGGTCGAATAATGGGAGTGATTTTTACTCGGATGTTAGTTCATCGAGGGAAACGTTGGCAGGGGGTCGTAGGCAAATGCCCGAAAGAATGACGAGTAAAAACGGGAGATACCCAACTAGGCAAAATGGTTATACAGAAGAAGATTCTTCCGATTCTGCTGCAAGTTCTGAATTTTCTACTACACAAGTTGGGGGAAGTATTAATGGGGCTATACCCAGGAATAGAGCTTCCATGGCTTCAGAGGGCTACTCATCAAGTCTGCCATCACGTATCAATGTGGAAAATGCGCCTAAGGTTTACATTTCTTTGAAACTAATAAGCTAGACCTCTGTGGCTTTTCCCTTTTCTTATTTGTCAGGTTATTTTTTGAGAAGCTCTAAGTTCTGTTGTTAGAAACACACTATAAATTTCATTATGATAAAGAGAGAGATAGGACTATGGGGGGCTTGGGGTGCAGCGTATTTCAGTGCCTCTCTCTGATGTTCTCACTAAAGTGTTGCTGTTTTCCTTTATTTTTCATCCTTAACAATTGGAGCAATATCTTGTAATTTTTTTGCTGTTTATGTTTTTGTTTTTGGTTTCTCTTTTTTTGGGGCTATTCTTTTTACCGTCCTTTGGTAATTCGCCTTAATTAAACTTTATTTCTTAATTATTATAATATAAAACCTAGTAGAAAAAGGGATGAACATTTTAATAGTAAATGTTGCATCTGGGCGTATAAGGAATATCCTGGTGGCGAGTGCTAAAAAATATAGACTCCCAATCACTTTCATGTGGCCCTGTGGCCAGCTAATCACTCAAGTTTTAAGGCATGCTGTTGGATCCTTTCCATGTTCCATGACGCAGGATAGTTGTGCATCAGATGATGCTTGTAAAAATTTTTGAGGAAAGAAAGTTGGTATTACATTTCTAGTTACTCGTAAGGTTTTTTTCTAGCAAGTTACATCGGGAGTATCTCAAGAAGCAACAGAAAGCTGAAAATTTGTTCTATGGCTTGTATTACATCGTGAATTGAATATAGACTACAAAAAGAACAGCTAAGAACAACTAAACATGTCCGTTTCATGGTTTTACCTGCGGTCATCATAATCTGAACTTATTTGACAAGAGTTACAGTGGTTTTAATGTTTCTCCTCCTCCTTTTATTTTTAAATGGTTATTATTATTTTTCTTTTCGAAACCACCCTTCAACGCAATTTCATCTTCCATCTCTGTGATGCTAAATTAGTCTAATCTGCAGGATCTGCAGAATGGAAGGTTTTCCGATGAAGACGATATTCCCAGTGCCCCTCCTTTTTGTGCTCCATCTCAGGAAATTAAACAATGTGCTGAGAAAAATGAATATGTGAAGGCTGATGGCACACATGATCATAGAACTGCATCTCGAGTTGAGCTCCAGCATGGAAATAAGAGCAGCGACCAGTTCGTCAGGTTGGCTTATTTATTTATTTTTAAAAGTTTAGTGTCTAAATAAAGGTCTGTTTTCAGGCAAGTCTTTGGATTTTGAAACAACTCTGCGCCATGCCTTTTTAGTTTATGTTTTATATCATTCCAGTGTTACATTTTATTTTTTGTGCCAATGGGATATATAATCATCTCCTTGCTCTATTTGCAGGCCAATGAATTCAGAAGCTGCTGGCAGTTCAGGACCAGCTCGCATCCCCACATATAATGCCAGGTTTTGCTATCTAAACTGTTTAGGTTCACAATTGATAATGGACTTTATCACATTGAGTGTTCTTATGGGGTTTTTAATTCCAATATCAGTGCTTTAGGGCCTTGGCATGCTGTCATAGCATATGATGCATGCGTGCGTTTATGTCTTCATGCTTGGGCAATGGAAAATATGGAAGCTCCAATGTTTCTGGAAAATGAATGTGCAGTATTACGGGATGCATTTGGGTAGGTTCATCTCTTTTCCTTCGACTTCATATAATTTTTCCACTGCATACCATGCAAAGCATCTAAATCTTAAGTTAAAATTTTGCACTTCTTTGCATTTACCAACTTACATCTCCATTCATATGCTGCAGTTTACGCCAGGTACTCTTACAGTCAGAGGATGAATTGTTGGTGAAGCGCACTTCAGAACTTGCCAATGAGGGAGCTCCCACTAAACCAAAGAAAACTATAGGCAAAATAAAGGTGCAAGGTAATGTGAATGATAGCCATACGAGTCCCATAGTTCAAGTGGCAATGAGCGTGACCTGAACATTGTTCATCGTGCAGTTCGTAAAGTGAAGATGGGGCTGGATCCACCAACAGGCTGTAATATTTTAGCTATAAGGCCACCTGTAATAAAACTGGACACCCTCAAGTATCAATTTTCTAGCTTCCAGTCAGCTGTAGTTTCTGGATGGCATGCTCTACATAAAGTTCGTGTTGCACCTCGAGTACCTCCAAACAGTTCTCTATCAAGACAAAGCATGGCATATGTGCATGCAAGCACCCAGTACATCAAACAAGTATCCAAAGTCCTGAAAGCTGGTGTCACAACCCTGCGCAACAATTCATCATCGTATGAGGTAGTGCAAGGTAATAATACTTTGTACTTATAAATTATACTCTTCAAAAGCATGCTTGCATAATAATTTCTTGTGCAATTACTTGTCTATATTGAAGTAGATGCTATTTGAACCATTGATTCTAACTTGTATTAGATTAGGTAATAATTGATTGATAATAGTTGAATATTTTCTTGGTTCTACTCCTTGAGGTATGCCAAATATATTTATACTGAGCACATGAACATGTGCTCTTACACTGGATTGAGTATACACCTTCTTTCTTCATATCTACACTGGACTTGAAATTTTTTGTCCACTTTAATTTTATTTTACATGTTACCCGCTTGTTGACATTTGATGTGCATTGAATACCCTCTGTTGTTGTCATCAGAAACATACTCATGTTTGCTAAGACTAAAAAGTTTAGCCGAGGAGGATGCCGTCAAAATGCAAGCTGGATCAGGAGAAACTCATGTTTTGTATGTTATCTGCTTATGTAACACTCTTTAGTTAGGAATTTTTTTCAGAGAGTCACTGACAACTTTACAGCTTTCCAGATGGTCTGGGTGATGATCTAATAACTGAAGTTCAGGATTCCAATGGAAGGCATATTGGACGTGCCCTCCTTCAAGTAGCTGCCATTGCTGATAACCCAGTAATATCCTCTTTGACCCTGAAAGTGCTCTAATAGTAATAACTATGCTAAGACTTGTAGTAGAAAACTCATTCTAAAGTTTAATGCAGGCAGACAAGTTACGTTGGTGGTCTATTTATCAGGAGCCTGAACATGAGCTCGTGGGCAAAATTCAACTCTATGTTAATTACTCAGCAAGTACAGATGATAACCCAAAGGTACGATATTAAATAAGTGCATGTTGTGTTTTTTTTAATAGTTTGCCTGAGTCGAGTTTACATCCCTTTCCCTTAGCCATGTTACTTTTCTAGTTAGATCTCATTTTAATTATTCAACTCTTTTTCTTCATTTTATAATGCACTGATATTGTCTTTAAAATCAAATAATCTGATATTCTTTTCTGAGTCCCTCTTAATTCCCGATATCTGGTAAAAATATTTGCACTTTCTGATTTTTGAGCTTCTTCATGGTTTTTAAGAAGCAAATTTCTTCAGCTAATTGGATCTCTTCGGCTTATTAATTTGTCTTTGCAAGTTGAAGTTGCATTATAAGGCAGGCTTCATCAAAGCATAGGTTGTGAAGTTCTCTGCAGAGCTTTTATTATCGATCATTGTGTATTATAGTCATTGCAAAAGTTATATTTGTAGCACATACCATGCTCTCAACTTGTTAACAAAGATAAATGTTTTAGGAAACCTAAAAATTTCAAGGAAATAGCTTTTAAATTGATTGAAGTTTGAACATGTTGTAAATATTTTCTTTGTTTGTGGTCCATAGTGTGGTTCTGTGGCAGAAACAGTAGCATACGACCTAGTTCTTGAAGTTGCCATGAAAGTTCAGCATTTTAAACAGAGGAATCTTGTGTTGAGTGGTTCCTGGAAATGGCTTTTGACAGAGTTTGCATCATACTATGGCATTTCAGAAGTATATACCAGATTAAGGTAATGGGACTATGCTAAATTGAGTACTTATTCGTTCTACATAAATGGCTGAGACTGAATAAAGTTATTCACTACTATGTGATGAATATTGATGATGGCTTACATATTAAGCCATGAACTTACCTCCATTGCATTGTATCAATAGATATCTTTCATATATCATGGATGTGGCCACGCCAACAGCTGACTGCCTCACCTTGGTGTATGACTTGCTCATGCCTGTTGTTATGAAGGGCCATGACAAGAGTACGTTGAGTCATCAAGAGGTAGTAATCGAGCTTCCTAGCTCAAACCAGTTTATGCTTATCTTATCAATATTATTCTATATTTGAATGCTAATGTTGTTGGCTGCCTCTCAGAACCGAATTTTAGGTGAAACTAGGGATCAACTTGAGCAGATACTTGCTCTTGCTTTCGAGAATTACAAATCACTTGATGAAGCAGCTCTCTCGGGTCTTATGGAGGTCTACAGACCAGCAACTGGGGTTGCAGCGCCTGCCATAGAACCTGCAGTTAAATTGTACACACTTCTTCATGATATCTTATCTCCAGAGGCTCAGACTTCCTTGTGCCATTATTTCCAGGTTTTGAGAAACTTTATCTCAGTAGGATTGCATTGTCGAGTTAAATGTTCAAAATTTTCCCCTAAAGACTTGCATTTTTCCAGGTTGCTGTGAAGAAGAGATCAAGGAGGCACTTGAGTGAGACAGATGAATTTATGGGTAACAACAATGAAGGCAGTTTGGTAGATACCATTACTATGTCTAGTGCTTACGAAAAGATGAAATGGGTGTGTCTTAACATTAAGGAGGAGATATTTTCTGACATTGAGATCCATAATCAAAATATACTTCCCAGGTACCCCCTTTTAAGGAAAACATGTTTGGATAACTGTTTGTTGATAGGTTTGTTACAAATTAGGGTTCAGGTTTGATGAGCTAGCTGACACAATTTTCTGCTTGCAGCTTTATAGACCTACCAAATCTGTCTGCTTCCATATACAGCACGGAGCTTTGCACTAGACTGCGTTCTTTCCTTATTGCTTGCCCACCGACTGGCCCTTCACCTTCAGTAGCAGAACTTGTTATTGCGACTGCCGATTTTCAGAGGGATCTTGCCAGATGGAATATCAGGTGACCTTTTTTATACATAAAACTATTTTTGTTATGGTTGGGAAAAGTTCTTGTCTCTTGATGTTCTTGAAAATTTCCAACACCACTTTTCATTCTTTGTCAGTCCTGTGAAAGGCGGTGTCGATGCAAAAGAATTGTTCCACTTGTATATTCTGGTGTGGATCCAGGATAAGCGCCTATCATTGCTTGAAACGTGCAAATTGGATAAGGTCAGTCAAATTAATAAAAATATATTTTGAATGTTACCAACTTATGGAGAGTACAATCACTGTATTTGGAAGGAAACAAACACGTTCAGTTCATTTTTCTTCTAAACTCGTGATTATGGCTAATATAAATGTAAATGCAGGTTAAGTGGTCGGGAGTTAGGACTCAACATTCTACAACGCCTTTTGTCGACGATATGTATGACCGATTAAAGGAAACTTTGAGTGACTATGAAATTTTCATTTGTCGATGGCCCGAGTACACCTTTGTTTTGGAGCAAGTAAGTTCACAGTCTCCTGGTAGTTCTATAACAAAATGAACCTTTATTTTTTCTTCTTCTTTCCTTCGTTAATGATAAGTCTTAATCTATTTAGTTTCTTTTTTCCTTTGGATTTCGATAATAGGCTATTGCAGATATTGAAAAGGCAATAGTGGAGGCGTTGGAGAAGCAGTATGCTGATGTATTGTCGCCACTGAAAGAAAATTTAGCACCCAAAAAGTTTGGGCTTAAGTACGTCCAGAAACTTGCGAAACGATCTGTGAGCTTGTACACCGTCCCCGACGAGGTACGTTGGCACTTAGAAATAAAGGTTTTCTTTCATATGAGTGTCCATTGGTTTAAGAATTCGAATTCAATGATGATTTCAGCTGGGGGTTCTATTAAATTCCATGAAGAGGATGCTTGATGTTCTACGGCCAAAGATAGAAGCCCAATTTAAGCGGTGGGGTTCTTGCATTCCTGAAGGTGGAAATATAATTCCTGGAGAGCGTCTTAGTGAAGTCACGGTCATGCTCAGAGCAAAATTCAGAAACTATTTGCAAGCAGTAGTGGAAAAGCTTGCTGAGAACGTGGGTATCATTTTGCTTAATTGGTTCTTTAGTTTACAATTTCTTGCTCTCTATTTTCCGTTGGATGATCGATATTTAGCTAACTGGAATGAGTAATCAAAATTGTGAATAACACTTCTTCAGGAATTGAACTGTATTATTGCCAAGGATAGAGACACAAATTAACCACCATGAATTGGTCTAATAGTTATTGGGGCCTTTCAAGAGGAAATGAGTTTAAACTAGTGACCACCTACCTAAGATTTAACATCCCATAAATTTAATTTTCCACAACCAAACCTAGTGGGATTAGGTAGGTGTCATATGAGGTTAATCGGGGTATGCGCTAGTTAGCTCAAATACCCATAGATCTTAAAAAAAGAAGAATAAAGACAGAAAATATGACCTATGGATGTTGAATTTAAATGTCATATAACTTGTTAATCATCTAAATGATATTTTGTGAATTCTCTTTCTATTTTTCGCCAACACTATCAATTATAATGAGATATGGAGCACAAAGCATGGGATTTCAGATTTAACTATGACATTTCTTGGAGTACTAATGAGCTGTCTCTTTTTATGTATGCAGACGAAGTTACAAAGTGCAACAAAGCTGAAAAAAATTCTACAAGACTCCAAAGAAGTGGTGATTGAATCAGAAATACGAAACAGGATGCAGCCACTGAAAGATCAGTTGACAAGCACGATAAATCATCTTCATACTGTCTTCGAGAGTCATGTCTTTATTGCTCTATGTCGAGGTTATTGGGATCGAATGGGACGGGTAAGATGAATCTGGAATTTTACGATTTTGCTCCAAATTTGAGAATTCAGTCTTTGAGTTCTTACATTTTTTAATTTTTATTTGGCATAGGATATCTTAAGCTTCATGGAGAACAGGAAAGAGAACCGGTCATGGTATAGAGGCTCACGAATCGCAGTTTCGGTACGCAGTTACTTTAAGCACTGTTTTTTTAAGTCATTATGACAACTCCAAATGCAGGTTCATTTGTCATTCTCATTGCACGTTCTTTTGCAGGTTCTCGACGACACATTTGCCTCGCAGATGCAACAGTTGCTTGGGAATTCGCTACAAGTGAAAGACCTCGAGCCACCAACCTCAATCACTGAAGTTCGATCGATGCTATGTAAAGATTGAGGGCAGGCAGGCCAACCGAATTCTTGCTCGTGCTCTACGGATCTGAGTTGAAACAAGTGGTAGATTTGGGCATGAATATTCAACAAGCAGGATTTGCCAAAGTGCTAACCTAAAATCTTGTTAGCATGAAGATGTTAAAGTCAATTTTGATTAGAAGAAAGAAATGTTGTGTTAAAAATGCAGCTGCTGAGTCCATTTTGTAAAAGGGAGTTGGCTACTCGGCTGCCCCAAATTTTCTTTTGATGTCTTCAATAGTGCACTATATAACTATAGAGATGTAGAGGATGTATATGTGTAATATTACATAATTATAGTTATTATTTTTTTCGTATAGAGTATAAATATAATTATTTCATTTATTAGAAACAAAAGCCTTGGAATTAACAACATAATTACAATTATTACTTTGTTTCTCTTACGTTTTAATATTTTTAATTAGAAAAATATTAAAATTGTTTGAAAATTTTACTTATCAAGTCATTGAAAGAAAAATATTTCTAGTTTCTTAAAAAAAAAAAAACCACAAACATGAGCAAAAACTTTGACTTTTTTTTGCCTTCCTTTTCCTCAAATATTAAAATGCCAAACTAAATTGAACATTCTTAAATAATAGATGAAATATTTATCAAAAGTTGAGACATAAAATAACCTTCAACTTGCAATCAAGTTGAGATTTAAAATAACCTTACGTTTGATCGAAGAGTTCAAACCTCGGCGCACTTTTTTTTGGATCAAACTCACAACTTTTTAATTAGAAATATATACCAGTTTGATTGAAGAGTTCAAACCTCGGCGCACTTTTTTTTTGGATCAAACTCACAACCTCTTAATTAGAAATATATATTACTATTGAACTATGCTCGCTTTCCCTTCACCCACCAATTGTTGATAAAATAAAAAAGCACTAAAATATTATGGACTAAACTATAGTCTATATATTAACCTACTTGCAAATGCTTTTACTCAAAAAATGGCACAGACAACTTTATTAGCCAAGTTGAAAATGGGGGAAACTAAAAATTGACCATTTTATGGCATCAAAGCAAACCTCCAGTATAAGGCACAGAAGTTTGAGGCAACCACACATCCCCAAACAAGAAGTTTGAAACTGTAAAATTAGAAGCATGAGTAGCATTATTAATCACATGGTAACCAGGCCAAGCAACTCTGTTTGTTGTATTGGATCCAGCTCCTGTGTTATTATACTCTCCATAATATAGTGTGTTCAGATATTCACCTGACCATGGATCCCATCCAGCACCATTTATAAACCCATCTATAAATGACTGCATGTACACTGTTCTTGAATATTGCTTCCATGGCCTTCCCAGATATGTTTTGTTCATGTACCTGTTGCTTGCAGCCAAATCGGGCGTGGCTCGGATCGTGCAGTTGTGGATCGAGGTCCCGGTGTTTTGGTTCGGGTCTGATCGACCTTGAGCAGTTATCATATTGGACTGCCCTACGCGTGGTAGACGGGGATATATGTAGCAGTTTTGGAACACAACGGCTGCATTCCCAAATATGAAGTCTACTGTGCCGTAGATGTCACATTCTCTAAAGAATTGCCTGAGGGAGTGTGTGTATAAGGTATCCTGGTACCCCTCAAAGCTGCAGCTGTAGAAGGTCGACATATCGGCCCCGCTCCTTACGGCAACCGCTTGCCCTTTTATCGCTCCCGCCGTGTTTTGGAAAGTTATGTTCACTCCCATGAATCCTTCCCCTGCCACAGCTGCATGTTTGAGTAATGTTAAAAGGTTAAATTACAAGTTTGATCCATAACTTTTTAGAGTTCCGTCTATCTTGTTTTCATACAAGTTTTTAATATATAACACAATTCTAAATCTCAATGCTTACCAAAAGTTGCACTGTTGAAAGTCGTCCACCCGTCCGCAACGCTCCGATTGCCCGTAATTATGGTCTGGTTTATACCATCGCCAATCATCAGCAAGTACTTCTTCTTTGAAGGGATGGACACGTACTCTTGGTAAACACCAGCCGTGATGTAAATCAAGAAGTAGCCATTGGCAGCAACAGAGTTGTTTGGAGCTGCATCAACAGCTTCTGTTATGGTGAGGAAGTTTCCGCTGCCATCTTGACTCACAACCACAATGCCGTTAACCAAAACTCCATCATCTGATGAAGACGAAAGCCTTCTTCGATTTGCCACCGTGTTGTAAACCGTGCGGTCGTGTCTCGACATTCTCAATGGTAGCGGTCCTTTTCTAAACTGGAGATGATTGGGCTTCCCCTCAGATGTCCTGTTTCTGTTCCTGGGCACCCAACCCTTGGTAAAAAGAGACAGAGAAAGACTGTAGGATTTGGTACAATCAATGAGTGGGGCCAACAGATCCTTCTCCAAACTGGAACCTGAGGCCACAGTTCTTAGGCCATCAAGACAAGTATCAATGTTGGTTAAGATGGCACTAAGAAGACTCTGGATATAATCAGCTTTTGAGTAACTTAGCTTTCTATCAGTGCCGTTGACAGCCCTGAATGAATTTGACAAGAAATTGATATTTAGTTGGGCAAGATACTGACAATCTTTGAGAGCTCCAATGACTGATTTTGGGACAGATGAACTGTTATGGAGATGTTGGTCAATCAAGTCAAAGAACCTAGAGGCTTTAGACAACGAACGACGGATCGAAAACCGCCCGGAGTCATAGACATTATTCCCAGAGGATTTTTGAAGCACAGAGAAGCAGTAAGAAGAATCTGTGGAGAAGTTGCAAATGTGTCTTAAAGAGACAAGATTGATGAGAGAATCATCAGCATGAGCAGCAGATGAAGAGATGAAAAGGGCTAAGAGTATCAGAAACAAGAACCTGCAAGAATAAGCCATTAGCTTTGAACAAAATCAATGTGTGAAAATAGAAGAGAGCGTTAAGTCCACATATATGGGTCCAAATAGAGCGTAGATTTTCGTGGTTAGTGGTGAAATCTGCAACTTGGTCATATTTTTAAGCAAAAGTCAACAAGGTAACTTCAAGTACAAACAGTAAGCGTAGCCACTATCTCGATTAAATGTCACAAAAACAAGCAGAAACGCATATTATATACCCACTTTCACCAGCTTGAGTAATCCATGCTTCCTTTAATGCTGTGCTAAGAGACAAGACTAAGTCAATGCAAGCTGTTATATTTGATTTTCTTGAACATCAAAATGCTGACTCGAGAAGGAAGGACCGAAGAGATACCTGGATGGAAATTTTCCCATCATGAATTTCAGGCGCCTAATGCTGAACCGTGTGCTTGAAGACGAGAAGAGTAATGGAGAATTTCGCCAAATAACTAGCGATAATTGACATCTTTTTTTTTTCTCGAATTCGGAGGTTCAACTCCCACACTCTCAATTTTTTTGTTCTAAAAAAAGAGTAATGGAGAATTTCAGAGAGGTTCAACTGTTGATGGTTCGAACTGCTAATATGTTGCAGCTGTTTTTGCTTGTTTTTCTGTCTTTACTCTGCAGAAGAAGCCATCCGTTTGGATGTCTCAGTAAGGCTCTGAAGAAGACCAGGACCATTAAATGCAGAAAGCTTAGTCCTAAACAGAATTTAATGATATATCAATTTCTAACAAAGTGTTTATTCATTTTGACATTGTATTTTTAGTGTTGGTTGTTACTAGGGAAAAAATAATTGCCACATGTTAGAGTAGCCAAGAGAGAAGTACGCCGATCTTATGATGTCAGCAAAGCTGCCAGAGTAGATAAAATATACCCTCAAGAGACAATTTGTTTTCAAAATTAATTTTCTAACAAAGTCTCTTTTTTTTTCCCTGAGAAACAATTTCTAACAAAGTGTTTATCGCCCGTCCCCTTAAAAAAAATAGAGAACACAGTATAATGAATGGTTTTTTATAATGAAAAAAATAAAAAATAGATTTAAATCCTTACTCGTCTGCCTTTCAACATCGTTCTGTCTCCAAATTTTTAGTTTGTTTTAGACATTTGTATGGAAAAAAAAAACTATTTTTAATTTTCAGAAATAATTTTGTAGAATATTTGATGCGGTTGTTTATTGACACGATGAGAAAACCTTAACATGGACCATGTTTGAAGCTACAAGTTACAATATCATTTTGGAAGTAACGAGGCCATGCCTCCCAAAATTCTCTCTTTTTCCTTTGACCAAAAAAGAAAAAAAACTTTAATCCTAATAATTAATTACTAAAATTGAAGTTGAACATAAAATAAAAACGGTTAGTCCGGACCCTTCAGTTTTCAAGGCAATTCTTAATTTCTGTCTTTAATTTTTTAAAGATTAAAATTTTAATTTTGAAGCGTTTTTTTTCCTCTAGAAAGGAAACAAATAAATCAAGAACTTGAAAAGTCCCCTTTGGCCAAAGAAACCAACCAATCG